CTCACTGTTGGGTTTCGCGACTGTTTCAAAGTCGGGACGACGTGAGAGTGCATCAGCGACGACATTAAGTCGTCCTGGTTTGTACTCGACCGTAAAGTTGTATTCCGCAAAGAATGACAACCACCGCGCCATTCGTTGTGAAAGGTGCGGGCTGTTCACTGCCGTGCGTAATGACGCATGGTCAGTGTAAACAATGAAGGGTCTATCTCCTAATAGATAGACTCTGAACTTCGCGAGTGCATACTTCATGGCAAGGAGTTCCTTGTCATGCACTGGATAGTTCCGCTCAGCTGGTTGCAGCTGACGCGACTGATAGCAGACGACGCGTTCAACGCCTTCAAGGTCGTACTGCATTAATGCACAGCCGATTGCGAAATCGCTGGCATCACAGACCACATGAAATGGCCTGTCCTGATCGGCTATTGCTAGGACTGGGGATTGTATCAAGCTCTGCTTGATACCATCAAAGGAGCGCTGACATTCAGCGTTCCATAACACCTCTCGTTCTTTTTCAACAAACGAGAGATGTGCACAGCCATCTCGGCGTAATTGCGTGAATACTTATGCAAATACGCCGCTAGCCCAAGGAATTTTCGAAGACCTTTGACATCAACCGGCACAGGCCAGTCGGTGATCGCCTTGATCTTTTCGGGATCAGGACGTACACCGTTCTTACCAACGAAGCACCCAAGAAGTGGTATTTCGCTTGCTGCAAATATACACTTCTTGAGGTTTGCATACAATTGATGCTTTCGCATGATTGTAAGAACCTGTCGGACGTGGTACCTGTGGACCTCAACGTCCGACTTTCCATCCATAGCTCGACTATGGATGAATACGTCATCGAAATAACTCGGCGCGAATTCTCGTACTGGTCTCAACAGATGTGATACACATCTGTTGAACGTGGCAGGGGCATTACTAAGCCCTTGTGGCATTACTAGCCATTCCCAGAGCATGCCGCTAGGCGTGCTAACTGCGGTATAGGGTATATCCCGTTCTCGCATAAGGATTTGATAGAAGCCATCCATCAAATCCATGGACGAAAAGATGGTACTCTTTGACATACCATCAATGATTACGTCCTTCCTCGGTATCGGCGTCTGAGCCGGTACCGTTGCAGCGTTCAATTTGTTGAACGCGTGCACTGTCCGCCACCCTCCTGTTGCTTTTCGCACACAGAAGGTCGGAGAGCTATGTGGGGAAGTTGATTCCCTCACATGGCCCGCAGCTAAACGATCGGCAAAGAACTTGTCGATCGCAAGTACTTGTTCACGAGTCAGTGGCCACTGGTTCATGACACAGTACTTCAAGCCTGGTTTAAGCTCGACCTCGTGTCGAATACCTTTATCCTTCGGTAATTCGCACGGAACAGTTTCAGGGAATACATCCTTGATTTCAACCAAATCTTCATAGAGAGGATTTTTCTTGAGCGATTCCCACGATTGGGAGTCATATCGCTCAATTCGTGTCTTTTCATCTAGGACACTCTCGTCCATAGATGAACTACTGAGAACTCTCTCGTTCTCAGTAAACACTGTTGCTGACCTTATGTCGGTTACACACTCGTCGTCAGCGACGAGTACGCAGATCTGCTTGACTTTGCCACTACGCAGATCACGCAAGAACCTTTTATGTTCGAGCGTTGGCAAATGAGTGATCTCCGAAGTCAACTTCGGAGGCGCAATCAGATCAAGTGTATAAGCGCCTACACTTGATCCATTATTGACTATGACATTCAATGTCTCTGTCATTTCCTGGGGACTTATTCCCTCAGGCTTCGAAGGACGTATTCCTTCGGCTTCCCGGGGACTTATTCCCGCGGGTTTCGGGGAACTTATTTCCGCCGTTTTTGTAATATCGGGACTTATTCCCTTAACTTCCTCTAGCTGGGGTTGCGCAACCACAGAGATATCCTCTACGAAAGACTCTCCAGTCGATCTAGGATTATCGTTTCGCTTAACCTGAGCGATCGATCGTTTCTCTTCTAGATGTTCCCCGCTAGGGATACATCTTTGTCCCAGTCCACCCGACTTATTCGAGTGGTGGACCTTCGGCGCAGCCTGTGTTTCCTCACAGCCGCCGGAACTTTGCTCCGAAGTGTAACCGTTTGGTACACTAAGGTTTTGTGCAGTCGTACTAACGACCGTACCACAAGTGAGGCCATCGCACTCACTCGTAGTACATCCACACGCTTGTGGACGCTCCAAAACGTTCATCAGATGGCCATCTGATGAACAAGCGGCAGGCATCGTTACTGTTCGATGTTGCCAGTTTACCCGTGGTTCGTACCTTCTGAGCCACGGTATTCCAAGGATGACATCAAAGTTGTCATCCAAATCCAATACGATAAAGTCATCATCATATTGGGTATCTTCTAGCGTATAGTGGATCTTCACTATACGCTTCATGACGGTTACGGATGCGCCTGTCGCAAGACGTACCGTCATCCTCGTAGGAGGTGTGTCACATTCACTGAATTTAAAGTGACCATCTTCTAGCGATTGGCGTCGCACAAAATTGTTGGACGCCCCACAATCGACTAGAGCTCGAAGGGACAACTCGTTCGTCACTTCGAGTTTCAAGGTAATGAGTGAGATCTCATTACCTAGAGCAGCAACGCACAACGTTTGTGTGTTGGGAGCAACCTTCATCAAGAGGCCTACAGATTCTCTTGACGTTGCTGGACCAGTAGGGTGCTCCGCGCCTACTGATCCTGTCCGTTTTTTGACGGTCCATCCCGTTGTTGCGTCTTTGCACCAACAGCGGACCCGCGTCCCTGCCCCTTTCTCATGGGTGGACGGTCACTACGCCCAGTGTCGCGAGACACTGGACGAGGGTCACTACACTCGTAAGCGTAGTGTCCTGTCTTTTGAAATCTGTTGCATCTCTGCAACTTCTTGTAGCCTGTAGAGCGAGCCTTCTCGCTCTCTACATAACAGAGTTCCATCGGCTCTGGACCTCCGTTGTCATATCGTCTCGGTTGACGATATGATGTCGAGCTGGCGCGAGCCTGTCTCAGACTGAAGTCTTCCTGCTCCGCAATGGAAATGGCTTGTTCTAGTGAATCTAGTTCAAGCCGGAACAGGTGAGTCTTGACGGGACCATCCGCAAGACCCTGCATGAACACCGAAACCAACGTGTGTTCATCCACCGGATTGGAACTTATACAACTCGTGAGATGTCGTATATGTTGCGCGTAAGCGTGCACATCACGCTTACCCTGCTTGAGCTTCAAGAGTTCGGTTCGAGCTCTGAACTCAGCTCTAGGCGTTTCAAACGTTTGTCTGACCCGCGACTTGAAGACTTCCAACGACCCAAACGCATATGGGTCGTGCAACTTGAGCCCCAGTGCCCAAGTCTTGGCACGTCCTGCCAGATTTGACTGGGCAAATGCAACTTGCATATCCCCGTCGTCGATGCGACGCGCCCTTATGGCGTCATCCAATTCGACGAACCATCTCAAGAGGGAGTCCTCTTCGACTCCCCTATACTTGGAGATGTCAATCTTCAAGGTTTCGGGTCGACGCGAGTGCATCGACCCACCAGCAGCAGCCTGCTGCTGTCTCAACAGTTCAAACTGTTGAGCACCCTGTTCTCTCAACAACTCTGCTTGTTGAGAACCTTGTTGGTGAAGCAAGGCTACTTTCTCGCGTTCAGCGTCAAGTTCATTTTGAATGAACTTGGCGATAGTAGCATGTTGGGCATCTCTCTTGAGAGCCTCTAGCATGACGCTAACAGCATGGATGCCCATGGTTGAACCCATCCGTTCAACCGCATCCCATTTGACATCGCTCAAATGGGAGTAGCCGTCACGCGTAGCGTGGAAGCTTTGGTCATCTTCATCATCCAACATATTCATGTTAGATGTGAACGTGGTCCTTGGACGGACTACGAAGTGCTACCAGGTGTATCGGGGCACCCTGAAGCTTGTACTGGTGACAGTACAAGCTACTTATTCTGATGACAGAATAAGGCGGTGCCTCGTAACTTCACGTACACTCGTACGTGCAGAGGAAGACGGGTACGAAGAAGCGAGTACTTGGTTAAAGTAAAAAGTAGAACTGTATTTATAGTAGTTAATGTCTGCAATAAATCACTATTTATCTTCATCTAACTATGTCTAAATACAAATGTGTAAATCAGTTATCTGCTCACCACTCATTGCGTGCGTCTGTCGTGGCGCGTCTTCGTTGGTTGATAGAATGGCCTATATCAACCAATTAGGAACTACTCGTAAGTGCTACAGAATATTTGTCCTTATGACAATATTCTGAGAATATAACTCTTATAGTTATATTCTATTAACAATTTCTTATAAATTGTTATGTAACGATTTACCCCGTTACACTTTTGGAATAGTATTTATGCGCTGCTCAAAGATTGGTTGGCAAAGACAGATCAACCATAGATTGCCACCAGTCGCTGTTAGACGCGCGCAATGAGTGGTGAGCAGGTTGCTGTCATACGGCGACGTAGTTTAACATAGTTAGATAAAGGTTAAAGTTATATTGATAGCTTAACTTTATTGAATACAGTTCTCTTTAGAGAAAGCTAAATTTACTTGATCTAGTCGTTCAAGTAGTTTAGCTTCCTCAGCACGTACGAGTGTACGTAAAGTTTCGTGGCACCCCAAACAATATTGGCGAAAATGCAAGATGGTGAGAGTGTGACGAAGGTCGGCCGACCACTCTCGGCAGGCAGATGCAGCCACAATCGTTTTATAAAATGGTTGATGGTAGAGAGCGTAAGAAAAATTGTTTGTAGTATGTTAACACAAATCTCACTTCTACTTTCACAGCACCCTCAATACCTATAAAGTCTAACAAGTAATAAGCCCAAATGGCGACGAAGTTGCTGCAGCTGAAGGTCGCCAGCAGCGCAGGGCAGATGCCGGTCACGAAAGGGCCGGCGCCCTGGAGGAGAAAGAAGAGGTTAAGGAAGGACCAAGGGACACGCATAGCAAGCTGCTGGACCTTCTCACGGGCCTCACGGAGCGCATGGAGGCGTCGCAAGGGCGACTGGAGGAGAAGGAGCGTTTGAAGGGCCATGAGGCCAGCGTTTTTGGTTCGGTGTTGGGGCAAGGCAAAGCCATGACCAGAGAGGCGTTGGATGTGTCGCCTTCGAGGCGTGTGTCACCCGGAGTATCGCCATCAACGTACTTTGGCGCAAGACAGCCTGGATATGCTGGTGCAGCGGCCAAAGTTGAGATGGCGCAGGCGCCGCAACCAGTACTGCCTCAGCATTACGTGCCACCACCCATGTACCAGCCGGCGCCCCCACCACACATGGCACCAGGATTACAATCCGATCTTGTGCCGGATACGCGACCGATGAAGCTGGGCATCCGACCTTTTGATGGCAAGGAATTGTATCAAGGTCTCGGAAGTGGGAATTTTATCGTGGGGCAAGAGATTTGCAAGGCAGATCATGTTCGCGGAGCGAGAAAGTGGTTTTTAGTGGAGCGAAGACGTAAAAGTAGACGTGCTAGGGCACCACTTGACCGGTATGGCCGAGCGATATTACAACCAACAGGTCGAGGGGCGGTTTGAAGAACAGCCGACGCTAGAGCAGGCGATGCAGCGTCTACTCCATACGTTTGCGACCAAGATAACTCCCGCACAAAGTATGAAGATTTTTACAGCTCCCAAGAGTATCAAGCGAAGCTGGACGGAGCATTACCTGTATTTGGTGGAGGTGTCGACAACCTAGTTCAAGACAACATTGTGCATTACGCCAACCCCAGTATGAGGGTGTCGATGTTGGCGAGGCTAAACCTCACGCGCATAGACTATTTGCGGCAGGCGGAAGAGCTTGCGCACTTCGCGCAGTCGACCGAGATAGAACTGTGCGGGAAGAATATCGGAAAGGACGTGGCTAATACCGTTGAAAATGGACGCCGAGAGCCTGTCCCAAGACCCGAACACACAATTGCAAGGACCGTCGAGATATGCGCACGTGCTACAAATGTGATAAGCCAGGACATTTAAAAATAGCGTGCCCCGAGGGAAGGGCTAAAACAAGAGCGACGGATGATGTTGACTTCGTTTTGACCATAGGCGGATCAAGTGTCAAGGAAGATTACTGGATGCTCGATAGCGGATTGAGTCGACACCTAGTTAATGACGCTTCATTACTGGAAGACCCCGAGAAACACATCAGCGAGTGCGTTGCTGCGGATGGTGGACACCTGCGCATAGCGATGCGTGGAAGTGTATTTATTGCGACGACAGTACTGAATAAAAGAACCAAGGTGCGCTTGACGGATGTGTACTTCGCATAAAACATCGAGAGAAACATTATTTCGTATGGGAATTGGAGAGTAAAGGGTGGGGAATATCATACCGGGGCGAGTACCGTGTGTTCGCCGCATTGGACGAAGGGCCAGCTGTTTTTTACGTGGGAATACACAATAACGTGTTGGTCCTGCGTGCACACAAATGCGAACTAGATACGACGGGACCTGACGTGCTAATGTCAGCACTTGCACAACACGAGGAGGACGTCGGACAAGATGTGCAGAAAGGATCGCTAATGCACATTCATCAACGGCTTTCGCATCTTAATTACGTCACCATAATTAGGATGGCCAAGGATCCCGCATCAGGAATACAGCTAACGGAAGAGCTGCGGGCAAACTGCTTGGCTTGCGCCCAAAGGAAACAGACCAAGAACCCGCAGTCTCGAAAGGACACTGGAATTAGATGCTCCGAGTAGAAGGGACCGATGACTCCACGGGACAGGTTGGGCAACCGCTACATGGTACAAACTAATGTCGCGTTTTCTTGGCAAAGTCCAAGGATGTCGCAGCTCAGAATTTCAAGCACTTCATGGCTTTTTTTGAGCGACAATTCAATTGTCGCATTCATGTTTTAAAGACGGACGGTGGAGGGGAATACAAGACTTTGGAGCTATTCTGCAAGGACACTGGCATTGCGCGCCAGGTGAGCGAGCCACGTAATCAAGCAAGTAACGGAAAAGCGGAGCGAATGCACCGCACCATTAAGAACATGGTGCGGAGCATGCCATTTGCTTGTAGATTACCGTTAAGCTTTCAAGGAGACGCCGCGGAATATGCGATGTATATTCTTAACCGGCGCCCGAGCAAAGCGAATATGGGAAGACAGTCACCATTGCAGATGCTGAGGAAGAGAATCCCAGACTTGAGCGACATAGTGGCGTTTGGCTTGCCATGCACGGTCCATAGAGATGCGAGTAACAAGTCGCTGGGGAAGCGTGGAAAACAAGGCATCATCATCGACAAGAGCGATGAAATGAAGGGCTACAGGGTTTATTTGCCAAGGGAGAAGACCGTCATCGTCACACAGCACGTTCGAAACGTGGAGACACTGACCAAGGAGCAGAATGCGCAGTTACGTCGTGTACATCCAACGGTGGAAGATGGAGAGAGTGGCGAGCGTGGCGGTTATGCGTCGATGAATAACCCAGTACCGGTTCCAAGAGAAAAAGGCAAGGGACGAGGACAAAGAAAACCCTGGACGCGCGATGCGCACCTGACCAAGACGGCGGCGCAAAAGGCACGCAGAAACGGTGAAGAAAGTAACCGGCCTGGTGAAGAGATTATTAGCGTCCGGGAGGCGGACCCGAAGAATTATGGGCAAGCCATGAAGAGTGGGCAGAGGGAAAAGTCGCTTACTGCCATGTCGGAAGAGCTGCAAGCGCTTGAAGACAACGGAGTTTGGTTAGTCGTAGTGCTACCAAATAGTAGTCACGTACTGCACACAAAATGAGTCTATAAGACCAAAACGGATGCTGATGGAGCCATTCAGCGATTCAAGACGAGATTGGTTGCCTGCGGAAATGAGCAGGTGCATGGCGTTGACTATGGTCTCACGTTTGCTGCTGTTATGGAGTTGAGCACGGTGAAGGTAATTATTGTGCTTGCGTTGCGTTGGGGAGTACCGGCGAGACACGGGGATATTCCCAACGCGTACGTGAAGGCTGACAAAGAAAAGCACTTGGACATCTACTTGGCGATTCCACAGGAGATGAAGATTCAAGATGGCACTCTACGACAATTTGGCGTACAAGACAAATTGCACTTAGCGCTAAAGCTGAAGAAGTCTCTCCATGGGCTCAAGAAGGCGGGCCTTCTGTGGAGTTTATTGCTACTGCCAGACTGTAGGGGGCTGGATTCATCAATGTGAAGCCGATACGTGCTTGTATTGTAAGCGCCAGGGAGACGATGTGACGATTATCAGCGTTTACGTGGACGATTTACTAGTCACAGCGTCCAGTCCGAGGATGGTAGAGCTGTTTTTCGAGGCAATGGCATGTATATCGATCAGACATTTGGGCGAGGTTCGCAAGTTTCTCGGCATGCGAGTTCGTTTGGAGGACGAAAAGACGTGCACAGTGGATCAACAAGCGATTATGGAAGAAATGCTTAAAAGTCATGGTTTGAAGGAGGCGAATGGTGTTCGTGCGCCTATCAGTGAAGAAGCTAATGAAGTTGAAAAAGACCCTGTGTTACTGACAACGGTACCGAGACAAAGAGGCGAATCAACGATTCGCGATTTTCAGTCGCTTGTGGGGAGCTTACTTTGGATTGCAAGATGTTCACGTCCGGATATCAGCTTTGCAGTTCACAAGGCCACGCGGAGCACTCACCAACCTACTATAAGTGACTGGAAGCTGACAAAGAGAGTCGCAAGATACTTAAAAGAGACCAAGAACCTCAAGCTCAAGATGAATTTTTAAGAAATGAGGGAAACAAGATCAATTTGGCGAGTTGGAGCGACTCGGACTATGCGGCTAATAAGGTGGACCGTAAGTCTGTCACAGGCGGAGTTTTAACTACGGACGGTGCTATTGTGCAGTGGGTGTGCAAAAAGCAGACTGGAGCGTCGCTATCGACAATGGAGGCGGAGTCTGCGTCGGCCTCGCACGTTGGGCGAGAATTGCTAGGACTGAGGAAGTAAATGCGTGAGATTGGATTTCAAGTGGAGGCCCCAATTTCAATGCTCATGGACAACCAGGCTGCTATCAGACAGCTGGAGACTGAAGGAAGTATGTCGAGTGTCAAGAACGTTGATTTGCGCATGAAGTTTATATGTGATTATGCGAGGAAGGACATCGTGAAACCAATTCATGTGGAATCGAGCATTATGAAGGCGGACTTACTGACGAAAGTATTGCCGGTGCCAAGGATTTCAGAACTACGAAAGCTGCTCAATTTGATGTAGACATCGAGTGTGGGCGAGTGTGCGACGACAGAGGAGGAGTATTGGCGAAAATGCAAGATGGTGAGAGTGTGACGAAGGTCGGCCAACCACTCTCGGCAGGCAGATGCAGCCACAATCGGTTTATAAAATGGTTGATGGTAGAGAGCGTAAGAAACATCGTTTGTAGGATGTTAAAACAAATCTCACTTCTACTTTCACAGCACCCTCAATACCTATAAAGTCTAACAAACAAAGGGTGCCCCGTTACACCCAAACAGATCTGAACGATTACAAAGCTCGGATTTCAGCTTGCGCGAGTTTATAACAGCTTTACCCTTCGGGCTCGCAAAAACACATCCTGTTTAAATCACTAAAATGACAGCCATAGAGGACGCGCCTTTGTTTGTACCATTTGATCAGGTCGTGCCTCAAAATCAGAGAGACTAAGCCATCCTGGTCGTTGGATGGGATGGTTGGTCAACGTTGTGATTTTTGGTCATTCACCATTTGACGAGCTGATTAACGCTATTAGAGAGAACGAGAGAGCTCATCAAAAGCTCAATTCCCAAGAGATTCGGTAACGGTGTTCCATAAACGGTGGTGATAACCAAGTATGATGGTGTGATGTAAACATAAAGAGATTGGTGAAACTGAAAGACATTACATTGTACTGCATTACAAAAGCCAAGCGGTAATACTGTACCTTAATAGCTACGGATGTATGGTATCTATCATAGTAGGGTCTTCAAAGCATGGCGTAGTTCTAGTGTGGTAACACCAGAAGAATCCCTTTAGGTACAACTCGATAAGGACGCATGATTTCTAGCTTAAATACGTAATGAAGGTTTATTATCGCTATGAATCAGTAACGACATTCATTTCACCTTTTAATCAGTTTTGAACACGCGTATTTCGAAGACGTCTTTGATCGTACAAGTTAGGAGCCTGTATCAAGGCTAGTACTCTTGGGCATTAGTGCCACTCGATTCCTTGGAGTCATCAGGCCCTTAAACCAGGACTACAAGCTTGCGAGCTTGTTAAGATACTAGGAGTTAAATCATACTAAGTCTGCAAAAACTAGAGACCCTCTAAGTTGATACTCGTTTGGTTTGATACACTAAGAGACTCTACGAGTCTGCAAGTCTTCCTCTGACAAAGGAGTAAGGGTAGCTCCGTCACACCTCCTGCGTTTAAAAACACGTTAATGGGCTCACAGAGTATCATATGTGAACCTGTTATCGTATCACGACTAAGCAGCTAAATCTGTACCATTCCGATCATACGCTGGATATATATTGCGGTCAATTATTGTGATGCAACGTTTCCAAAAAGGCTGCTGCGCACATCTTCTGAGAATGCCGCTCCGCACATGCGTGTTGGATTCAGTTATGAAGCCACTGGACTGGGGATTGCATGGCGTATGTCACGGGGTGAATCGTTACATAACAATTTATAAGAAATTGTTAATAGAATATAACTATAAGAGTTATATTCTCAGAATATTGTCATAAGGACAAATATTCTGTAGCACTTACGAGTAGTTCCTAATTGGTTGATTTAGGCCATTCTATCAACCAACGAAGACGCGCCACGACAGACGCACGCAATGAGCGGTGAGCAGATAGTTGATTTACACATTTGTATTTAGACATAGTTAGATGAAGATAAATAGTGATTTATTGCAAACATTAACTATTATAAATATAGTTCTACTTTTACTTTAACCAAGTAATCGCTTCTTCTTACCGTCTTCCTCTGCACGTACGAGTGTACGTGAAGTTACGAGGCATCGCCTTATTCTGTCATCAGAATAAGTAGCTTGTACTGTCACCAGTACAAGCTTCAGGGTGCCCCGATACACCTGGTAGCACTTCGTAGTCCGTCCAAGGACCACGTTCACATCTAACATGAATATGTTGGATGATGAAGATGACCAAAGCTTCCACGCTACGCGTGACGGCTACTCCCATTTGAGCGATATCGAATGGGATGCGGTTGAATGGATGGGTTCAACCATGGGCATCCATGCTGTTAGCGTCATGCTAGAGGCTCTCAATAGAGATGCCCAACATGCTACTATCGCCGAGTTCATTCAAAATGAACTTGACGCTGAACGCGAGAAAGTAGCCTTGCTTCACCAACAAGGTTCTCAACAAGCAGAGTTGTTGAGAGAACAGGGTGCTCAATAGTTTGAACTGTTGAGACAGCAGCAGGCTGCTGCTGGTGGGTCGATGCACTCGCGTCGACCCGAAACCTTGAAGATTGACATCTCCAAGTATAGGGGAGTCGAAGAGGACTCCCTCTTGAGATGGTTCGTCAGGTGGATGACGCCATAAGGGCGCGTCGCATCGACGACGGGGATATGCAAGTTGCATTTGCCCAGTCAAATCTGGCAGGACGTGCCAAGACTTGGGCACTGGGGCTCAAGTTGCACGACCCATATGCGTTTGGGTCGTTGGAAGTCTTCAAGTCGCGGGTCAGACAAACGTTTGAAACGCCTAGAGCTGAGTTCAGAGCTCGAACCGAACTCTTGAAGCTCAAGCAGGGTAAGCGTGATGTGCACGCTTACGCGCAACATATACGACATCTCACGAGTTGTATAAGTTCCAATCCGGTGGATGAACACACGTTGGTTTCGGTGTTCATGCAGGGTCTTGCGGATGGTCCCGTCAAGACTCACCTGTTCCGGCTTGAACTAGATTCACTAGAACAAGCCATTTCCATTGCGGAGCAGGAAGACTTCAGTCTGAGACAGGCTCGCGCCAGCTCGACATCATATCGTCAACCGAGACGATATGACAACGGAGATCCAGAGCCGATGGAACTCTGTTATGTAGAGAGAGAGAAGGCTCGCTCTACAGGCTACAAGAAGTTGCAGAGATGCAACAGATGTCAAAAGACAGGACACTACGCTTACGAGTGTAGTGACCCTCGTCCAGTGTCTCGCGACACTGGGCGTAGTGACCGTCCACCCATGAGAAAGGGGCAGGGACGCGGGTCCGCTGTTGGTGCAAAGACGCAACAACGGGATGGACCGTCAAAAAACGGACAGGATCAGTAGGCGCGGAGCACCCTACTGGTCCAGCAACGTCAAGAGAATCTGTAGGCCTCTTGATGAAGGTTGCTCCCAACACACAAACGTTGTGCGTTGCTGCTCTAGGTAATGAGATCTCACTCATTACCTTGAAACTCGAAGTGACGAACAAGTTGTCCCTTCGAGCTCTAGTCGATTGTGGGGCGTCCAACAATTTTGTGCGACGCCAATCGCTAGAAGATGGTCACTTTAAATTCAGTGAATGTGACACACCTCCTACGAGGATGACGGTACGTCTTGCGACAGGCGCATCCGTAACCGTCATGAAGCGTATAGTGAAGATCCACTATACGCTAGAAGATACCCAATATGATGATGACTTTATCGTATTGGATTTGGATGACAACTTTGATGTCATCCTTGGAATACCGTGGCTCAGAAGGTACGAACCACGGGTAAACTGGCAACATCGAACAGTAACGATGCCTGCCGCTTGTTCATCAGATGTCCATCTGATGAACGTTTTGGAGCGTCCACAAGCGTGTGGATGTACTACGAGTGAGTGCGATGGCCTCACTTGTGGTACGGTCGTTAGTACGACTGCACAAAACCTTAGTGTACCAAACGGTTACACTTCGGAGCAAAGTTCCGGCGGCTGTGAGGAAACACAGGCTGCGCCGAAGGTCCACCACTCGAATAAGTCGGGTGGACTGGGACAAAGATGTATCGCTAGCGGGGAACATCTAGAAGAGAAACGATCGATCGCTCAGGTTAAGCGAAACGATAATCCTAGATCGACTGGAGAGTCTTTCGTAGAGGATATCTCTGTGGTTGCGCAACCCCAGCTAGAGGAAGTTAAGGGAATAAGTCCCGATATTACAAAAACGGCGGAAATAAGTTCCCCGAAACCCGCGGGAATAAGTCCCCGGGAAGCCGAAGGAATAAGTCCTTCGAAGCCTGAGGGAATAAGTCCCCAGGAAATGACAGAGACATTGAATGTCATAGTCAATAATGGATCAAGTGTAGGCGCTTATACACTTGATCTGATTGCGCCTCCGAAGTTGACTTCGGAGATCACTCATTTGCCAACGCTCGAACATAAAAGGTTCTTGCGTGATCTGCGTAGTGGCAAAGTCAAGCAGATCTGCGTACTCGTCGCTGACGACGAGTGTGTAACCGACATAAGGTCAGCAACAGTGTTTACTGAGAACGAGAGAGTTCTCAGTAGTTCATCTATGGACGAGAGTGTCCTAGATGAAAAGACACGAATTGAGCGATATGACTCCCAATCGTGGGAATCGCTCAAGACAAATCCTCTCTACGAAGATTTGGTTGAATTCAAGGATGTATTCCCTGAAACTGTTCCGTGCGAATTACCGAAGGATAAAGGTATTCGACACGAGGTCGAGCTTAAACCAGGCTCGAAGTACTGTGTCATGAAGCAGTGGCCACTGCCTCGTGAACAAGTACTTGCGATCGACAAGTTCTTTGCCGATCGTTTAGCTGCGGGCCATGTGAGGGAATCAACTTCCCCACATAGCTCTCCGACCTTCTGTGTACGAAAAGCAACAGGAGGGTGGCGGATAGTGCACGCGTTCAACAAATTGAACGCTGCAACGGTACCGGCTCAGACGCCGATACCGAGGAAGGACGTAATCATTGATGGTATGTCAAAGAGTACCATCTTTTCGTCCATGGATTTGATGGATGGCTTCTATCAAATCCTTATGCGAGAACGGGATATACCCTATACCGCAGTTAGCACGCCTAGCGGCATGCTCTGGGAATGGCTAGTAATGCCACAAGGGCTTAGTAATGCCCCTGCCACGTTCAACAGATGTGTATCACATCTGTTGAGACCAGTACGAGAATTCGCGCCGAGTTATTTCGATGACGTATTCATCCATAGTCGAGCTATGGATGGAAAGTCGGATGTTGAGGTTCACAGGTACCACGTCCGACAGGTTCTTACAATCATGCGAAAGCATCAATTGTATGCAAACCTCAAGAAGTGTATATTTGCAGCAAGCGAAATACCACTTCTTGGGTGCTTCGTTGGTAAGAACGGTGTACGTCCTGATCCCGAAAAGATCAAGGCGATCACCGACTGGCCTGTGCCGGTTGATGTCAAAGGTCTTCGAAAATTCCTTGGGCTAGCGGCGTATTTGCATAAGTATTCACGCAATTACGCCGAGATGACTGTGCACCTCTCTCGTTTGTTGAAAAAGAACGAGAGGTGGTTATGGAACGCTGAATGTCAGCGCTCCTTTGATGGTATCAAGCAGAGCTTGATACAATCCCCAGTCCTAGCAATAGCCGATCAGGACGGGCCATTTCATGTGGTCTGTGATGCCAGCGATTTCGCAATCGGCTGTGCATTAATGCAGTACGACCTAGAAGGCGTTGAACGCGTCGTCTGCTATCAGTCGCGTCAGCTGCAACCAGCTGAGCGGAACTATCCAGTGCATGACAAGGAACTCCTTGCCATGAAGTATGCACTCGCGAAGTTCAGAGTCTATCTATTAGGAGATAGACCCTTCATTGTTTACACTGACCGTGCGTCATTACGCACGGCAGTAAACAGCCCGCACCTTTCACAACGAATGGCGCGGTGGTTGTCATTCTTTGCAGAATACAACTTTACGGTCGAGTACAAACCAGGACGACTTAATGTCGTTGCTGATGCACTCTCACGTCGTCCCGACTTTGAAACAGTCGCGAAACCCAACAGTGAGACAGTCACTGTTGCGGTTATGACGTCCTCAGTCCCATCTACAACGTTGTATGATGATGTGAGGCGGGCATACGCTCAAGATGGTGAGATAGTGAAGTTGTTGACACATCTCTCCCAACCATCTTGAGAATCGTTGAAACGATTGTCGCCTGCGTATCGATCTGCATCAGATCGATACACTACTCGTAACGGTTTACTGTATTATACAGCCGTTTCTGGTGACACACCACGTGTTGTCATTCCAGATGATACTGATCTGCGTTTGCGGATCATGTTCGAGTATCACGATGCTCCTATAGGAGGACATCGTGGCCGAGAGAAAACATATCTCACGGTGAGTCGAGACTTTTACTGGCCCCGCCAGTATCAGTTTGTGCGAAAGTATGTTCGCGCATGCGAAGTCTGTCAACGAGTGAAGTCAAGTCCTTCACTGCGTGCACCTTTACAGCCTCTACCGGTTCCGGCTGAGTGCTGGGAATCCATCTCAATGGATTTCGTCTTCGGGTTACCCAAAGACGCATGCGGGAATACGGTTATTCTCGTATTTGTTGACAGATTCAGCAAAATGGTACACTTTGTGGCTGTACCAGAGACAATCACGGCAAGTGGCTGTGCTTGTGTCTTTATTGACACCATCTTCCGGCTTCATGGGTTGCCCCGTGAACTCGTATCAGACAGAGATCCACGATTCACTGCTGATTTCTGGCGTTCCGTGTTCAAATCACTCGGAACGCGCTTGAAGATGTCGACATCTGATCATCCAGAGTCAGATGGTCAGACGGAACGTGCCAATCGTGTCCTTGAAGAGATACTTCGAGGATACGGACACTCCTTTAAGAGTTGGAGTGAGTTTTTGCCAATGGTAGAGTTTGCCATCAACAACTCGGTGCATGCGTCCACGACACATACACCGTTTTACGTGAATGGCTTGCGCCATCCGCGTGTACCCACCTTACTAGAGTGTAACTCTGGTTTAAGGGGGGAGGGACTCGCGCGAGCAAAAACCGATTTGGTTCACGCTCATCACGCTCTGACGAAGAGGTCATTGCGTTTGATGCCGATATCGATAACATCGATATCGAAGAAGATGATGCCAGTGAGAGTGCGGAAGCCCTCACTGAAGAAAAGGTTGATGTTGCTGCAGTGCGCTCACAGCGCACTGAAGCTAACGAGTCATCAGATGAGTTCATACTGGCTCGTGAAACGGTAGTCCGTTTTGTGCAAGACTCCATCGCCGAAGCGGTGGATAAGCAAAAGCAAAACGCTGACAAGAATGGAAGGGCAAACACTACTTTATTTAATAAAGGTGACTTAGTCCTACTGTCTACGGTTAATCTACCAAAGCATGTAGTGACTAACTTGGGTAGCAGTAAACTACTACCCAAGTATATCGGCCCATTTCGTGTATTGACCGCCTAGGCAATGCATACACGATCGAGTTACCACGTAAGATGCGAACGCATCCCACGTTTTACGTTGGTCGGCTTAAGCCGTACCATCAGTACGCTGCTTCTTCCGATGAAGAACGCCCTTGCGCTCAAGCATCTCGCAGAGAGCCTTGTGCTCCCGATGGTGGGCATCAACAAGGGTCTGAAGAGCCTCTATCTCATCCCGAGACCGATCAACAATCCCACGAGCTACCCTTAGCTCGTCACGAAGAGATGTCAGAGATCTCTCGTTCTCAATCTGAGCAAAGGCAAACTCAGCTCGATGCTTCGAGGCAGTGTCCGCCATTTGGAGACGCCTATTCCGCTCATGTTCAAGATCGTCGCGTAACCCTTGCGTTACGCGATCAAAGAAGCTCTCGGGAAAACACGGATCCCCACGATCGTGCGGAGAGCGTCTTTCCTCCTCCTCCACCTCCATTAGAGGAATCTCGCGGTGGCCAGCGCTATCTAGTTGAGCAGCTGTTGAACCACCGCGACGCGAACGGACGTCGGACGAGTTATCTCGTCCGGTGGCGCGGCTATCCCCCGTCCTGGGATTCTTGGGAGCCCCGCTCCCAACTGATGATCGACGTACTGGGTCTGGTTGAGCAGTACGACGCGGCACATCCTGTGCCGCAGAAGGACCGCCGGAGAAAGTCTTCCCGGCACGGTCGTAAAGGGATTTCAGATTGTCAATCCCTTCGTACATCTCAATAGAGATACGTACGCGCTACCAAGGGCTAGTAAGGAGGTAAGCCTCCTTAGGTGCTCGTGCAGAGTTGTTCACACAACATGGGCACGAGTCTCCCCAAGAGAGGCAGGGTAATCCTTTCTCCCTTGACAGACGATGCAGCTTGTAGCGTGCACCTGTCGGGGTTCGCTTTTCAAACTTATCACGAGCTTTGATAAGTTTGTCGTTCCAAGCGTCACGACCTACATCCTCGAGGTTATGGATGTAGGCGTTCCACGCTTGAAGTAGTGAGGGACCATCACGTTTGTGATTCCCACTGTACCATCGATGTTTGAAGAAAGCATCGATGAAGAATTCATGTTCAGCGCGATAGTTTTTCGCACTGGGGTCAAGGTGATGGATCCTTGACGAATCGAACAACCGTGTTCGATAACGATCACTCGTCGTCGCCGACAAGTGATCCATGACAGATTTGGGAGGCATCCATGCCTTCTTTTCAGGAGCGAGACGCAACACATTGCGGTCCCGCTCTTCCTGCGACGTGCCGACAGAAGTACTGGCACCTCGCTGTGAAGTGGTGTCCATAGGAGAACCGACACCACTGTTAGCGCCCGAGTCTCGCGACCTCGAGCGCCTTCGCTTCGGCGATGGTTCATCTGATTCATCAGATGAACCAAAGATGCTACGACGCAAAGCATCATCCATGCCACGCTTGGCAGGCGGCTTGGATTCGATCGCCGTTGATACGGATCCGTCTTCCGTATCAGGAGAGTACGAGACACCGAGCTCGTACTCTGTGAAGACATGAGTGTCTTCATGACCAGCGCCTGCATCACCATGTGACACAGGCTGGGTCGCTTCAGCAACCGATGAGACATCAGTTGCTGTGGTTTCTGCTTCGGCGTCCGCACAGAGACGTGCGGACGCGCTCTCGGCGGCCTTGCTCGCGCATCGCATGGGCTTGTAAACCATGCGATGAGATGTTGGAAAGTGGACTCGGACCAACAAGTGCAAACCCTGTCCCAAACGATTTGGGACGAGTGCCATTTAGTTAATCAGTCACTAAAGTGACTGATGGTTAAGGGGGGGTGATGTAACGGGGTGAATCGTAACATAACAATTTATAAGAAATTGTTAATGGAATATAACTATAAGATTATATTCTCAGAATATTGTCATAAGGACAAATATTCTGCAGCACTTACGAGTAGTTCCTAATTGGTTGATATAGGCCATTCTATCAACCAACGAAGACGCGCCACGACAGACGCACGCAATGAGTGGTGAGCAGATAATCAATTTACACATTTGTATTTAGACATAGTTAGATGAAGATAAATAGTGATTTATTGCAGACATTAACTATACTAAATACAGTTCTACTTTTTACTTTAACCAAGTACTCGCTTCTTCTTACCGTCTTCCTCTGCACGTACGAGTGTACGTGAAGTTACGAGGCACCGCCTTATTCTGTCATCAGAATAAGTAGCTTGTACTGTCACCAGTACAAGCTTCAGGGTGCCCCGTTACAGCGTACCTTGTCACGTACAACTTATATTGCAACTGCCTCAATCGCCAAGCTTTGCCAATCTTACGCCGGTTGAGTCTGCGGGTGCAAATCCAATTCCAAGGCGATCAAGACGTCGCTGCAATAGAGTTTGGACGCATTTGGTTCGATCTCATCTCAATCTGTCAAGAACATTCGTGGAGCAAGCGCAATGTGGTTGATTTTAGGGCAGCCTAGACTTCTACATTGGCGGGCGTAAACATTTACTGGGAACGAGATGTTCGTCAGTTGAAGTTCATCGCAGTTCGCGAAAACTGAGCCGCAGCTAGTGCTACGTGCGTGGGGCTCGCCTTCATGTCTGCCTTGAATTATCAACTTGGGAGCCACATGGACACTTGCTTTATGCGGGAGTCAGCCACGACCTGTTGCCCCAATTGGCGCTCACATCCTACCTTAGGATTTGTCAGGCATCTTACAAACATTAATATGTGAATCGATGATCCTGAGACTCCTCCTCCTCAGTTAATGACTGATCAGCAAAACCGCTTTTGCAGCAATTACTAGCTCGTTCATATCCAAGAGCGTCTCCAGCAGTGAGTTAACTTAACTTGTTGTGCACCAATCAGAGACCAGTACAAATTCCTTTCAAACTTATACGCAAAAAACTTCATAACAGTCAGTATAACAATGTGATATAAGTGTATTTCGGCAGAACGAGACGGGTTAAATCGTGGACGCCTTTGTTTTCTTTGTTCTTTGTTAGGCTCAACGATATGATGTTGCTGGTGTTGTTTTTTTAAATTTGGAACCACGCCGTCGACATCGAAATCATCGTCCTTCTCTATCAACAACAGGCCATGACATGCAACAATCTTCGCGAATGACCTGATTGATCTCAAAAATCTGAACCAATGACATCCAGCCAAAAAGTTATCTCGGGTGTCACTGGACTACATACGTAGGCGGCATAACGAAAAGACATTTTGTTTCTCAGGTTATCCCCGAGTTAAATTTGCTGTTGTGGCGCACTTTTATCAGAATGACTAACGAACGATTCCTGATTCGACAGAAAGTTGAGCTTTACTCACTGCTGGAGACGCTCGAAAGCTGCTGTCTGGCTTAGAAATGACATTTACAAACCAGAATGAGAAAAAAAACGCAAAATGAACCACACGGGAACGACGACATAGCAACACCACCAGAATGTGCTATACTGTACAATACATCAACAAGACACACGTACCCGCATGTGCTATGACCGACATAAGAACCACCCTCCCCCCTGAATCATATCTGCAATTGCTAAAGCTGATAAAAAAATCGCGCCACCAATCGATAATAAACTCTACCGACTAGAGCCACCGTCGAACCTTAAAGAGAGCCAAATAACACCTACGTCTCATCCTTATCCTGAGAAACCAACCGCTCACTCGAGCAGGTCCGCTTCTTGACCAGCAGCCGCGCGTGAGCTCCTGTCTCCCACTTCGCACCCACAGCATGGCCAGCGCCGAGATGGTCGTGTACTGCTTCGACACGCTACAGTCGCACTTCGAGGGCTCCACGGAGCCAACGCTCCGCTCCAGTGTGCAGCAGCAGCAATAGTAGTAGATCACTCTTGCCCTTTTTCCATGCTCGTTCATCGCGTGGCCTCTGCTGATCTTTTGGTCTGCTCTTTGACCCTATAGTCCGCTGTTCGTGACGTGGGAGATCGAGGAGCACGGCGAGAGGCGCTTGCGCGGCTGCATCGGGACGCTGAAGCCCACGAGGCTGTGCAGCTTGCGCGATTTCACGTTCAAGAGCGCACTGCGCGACCACCGCTTTGACCCCATTGGGCCGCACGAGTTGCAGCGTCTCTGCTGCTCCGTGTCGCTGCTTCTTGACTACCAGGACGCTGGAAGCTACGACGACTGGAAGGTGGGCACTATTTGGTTAGCGCATGGTCCTTGATTGAGCCACCGTGGCTGTTGGATCTCTTGACCTCGTTCCTCCTGCTCATGTCTCGGGGACAGATTGGCACTCACGGGATCATTATCGAGTTCACCGACTCGCGTGGCAAAGAGTACAGCGCCACGTACTTACCACAAGTGGCTTGCGAGCAAGGGTGGACGCATGTCGAGACAGTCACGGCTCTTATGAGAAAAGCAGGCTATCGCCACGGGGTCACGGATGCCATGCTGGAGGCCGTCAGGGTCACGCGCTACCGCTCTTCGAGTCACAAGCTCACGTACCAGCAGTACGTTTCCCTCAAACAGACGATGCTGGACAGTGCGTAGCTTTCGGAGTGCTTGTGTGGTGTCATACATTGAGTCTTGGACAACACGAGCTGCGAATTGCTGGGAATTTGACGCGCTTGCGTGCTCCCCGAGCATCGTTCGCATTTTTATATTGATTGACCGTCCAATGTCCAGTGTTGTACATGACGCCATCTTGACTCCTCTAACAAATGCCTGCACTGCCTGCTGATTCAGTTGACACGCAAGTGGGTCAAGCTCGCCTGTGGGTCAATCCTTGGTACGCAATCGGCTTCTTGCATCGGCACTCCGCCGGGCTAAGCGCTCCTGATAATCGTCATGAACCTGTTTGATGAGGCTGTCACCACCGAGAAGCGGATCATAGCTGGACTCGCTCTCGCTGCCAGGACAATCGGCACCTTCGTTACAGCCATGCTGGTCAACAACGTGCGCATGCCCTTCTGGCTCGACTCGACGTACCAAGGCTTTTCCAGGGCTTTCGCCTACATCTGCCTGTTCACGACGGGTTGCAGCAGCCGCGGGTTGACGTTTGCCCTTTGCTGACGCCGTGTATTGGCCCGCTAAACGGGAATATACGTCACCTTGAGGGGGTGGAGGGGGTATCGTGCTGAATGCGTCTACTCCCGAGACAGCAAGCTCTTTGTCGTCGCTACTGTAGTCACGTGGCCGGTCTGTAGTGATGTAGGACATCGGATGTCGCAAGCTGGACGAGCTGTTGAAGTGGTGTTCGAACTCGTTCTCTCGCTTTAAATTGGCGAGCACTTCTAAGACCGAGTTGCTCTTGATCGAACCTGGACTCTTAACGCCTGCTGGTGGTGCTCCAAATGGTTCCGTCGCAGCTTTCAATGATTTCGATGACTTAAGCTGCCCTTTGTCCTTCAAGCGCCTGACGCGATTACGCTCCGAGCGGCTGTGGAGGACTTCACGCTTGGATGCGCTCTCGCGCACACGATTCTTATGAATACCAGTGAAATTCGTTGGGTTCGATAGTCGCGAGAAAATTGATCTCGATGCGGCGGAAGAAGAATCGTCGCTACACATGTGCGGTGACATCGCATTGTCTCTCCCGTCATCGTCATGGAAACCATATTCTTCACCGTCATGTCGCAGTAGCAACGACCTCTTTTGCAATGACATCGACTCGAGTTCCAGATCACTACCACCAACAGTATCCGACTCCATCCCAAAATGGCGGCGATCGTGGCCAAGCAAACGAGAAGTTTTGGCGTTATCGTCATCACTTGTCATGAGGACGTCCTCATTCCCGTCCGGCTCATGCCCATCATCGTTTTCGTCTGTAGCCATATCTTCATCGTCATCCTGCCTGTTGGTCCAGGAAGTAGGCCGCGATTGTGCCCGTCGTTGCACTGCAGCGAGCTTGTTGACCACTGAACTGCGAGACCGGGCTGGTTTCTGGCTTGCTCCAGCAGCAACAGCGCCTAGTCTCCTTAACTTTGCTTCCAGATATCGTACCCGCTCTCTGCTAGCGGCAAGGTCGGACTGCTCTTGCTGAAGACGGTCTTCGATCAACTGATTTTCTCGGCTCATGGCGGAAGAAATCCTTTCCAACTCTTCGCACTTCTTCCTCAACACCGAGCTTCTCTCTTCTGACACAGACAACAACACTCGACTCCGCTCATCAAGCGTCTCATGTGCAGAAGACAGCTCACCAAAGCTTATTCCACCGTGAGCCACACGTTGCAAGGACTCTTCGTAACTCTGCTTTATTTGCACCGTTTTCTCTCGCTCTTGCTCAAGACGACAAACAAGATCGGCTTTTTCGACTCGAAGTTTGGCGAGTTCTTGCTCCCTTCGTTGATCCTGCTTCTTTACATCGACAGCTATACTGAAAAGCATTTTCAGAAGCATACGAGCCTCAGGCAAAGACTGCGTCATTTCAATTTTCGCCAGCGCATTCCCTTCATCAACCACCCGGACGTCGTCCGAAATCTCCGATATTTTTTCTTCCTTGTACTCCAGCTGGGCGTGACAAGCTTCGATCCGTTCCTCCAAGTCAAAGAGCAACTGCTCTTCAGTAGCAGTAAGTTGTTGTTCTCGTTCTTCGCTGTTCGAATGCCCATGCAGCGAGCTTCGCGTCGATGGAGTTCGTACGTCCAAGACACCGGGCTGAGATGCGATCGAGTTCTTCACTTCCTTCTCAAGCTGATCTCGCTGAGCGTAGAGTACCTCCATCTCCTGCGCCACAGTCTCCCGTTCTTTCTGCAATTGTTCCAGCTTTTGCTGCTCCTCGGCGCGCCGTTTCACCTCTTCGGACAACCATTTGGCATCGCGATCAGCTCGGCTAGATTCAGCAGTCTTCTTTCGACTGTATGCGGAGTTCATTTTCTTTGCCTCGGCAGTCAGCTGCTGCTGATGCTTCAGCTTTTGTTTTGCAGCCGTGACTTCCTCCATCTTTCGCTTGAGCACCCGCTCCTGCGCATCCTTCTGAGAGCCCAAGCGCAAGATGTGCTGCTTGTCACGCTGTTGACTGCGCTTGAGGCTCATAATCTCGCGGCGCCGCTGTTTAGCCTCATCTTCGTATCGTTTTCTCTCTTCCTGTATTTTCTTGACGAGGTCCACCTTTTGCCGCTTCATGTTACTGATCTCCGAGTTCAATACACGTAGCTGCATTTCGTTCTTTTTCTTCTGGTTCATAAAACGGCTTATGTCGTTTTGCTTCTTCCGAAGCGTGCGAAGTTCTTCTTCCTTCACCTTCAGTTCTCGTGATAGCATTGCCAGTCGCCCGTTCTCTCCCGACGTATCACCTCCATCTGCTGCCTTCTTTTCGATCTGTTGGATCTCCTCCACAAGACGGTCACGATTCACCTCAGCATTGGACATCTCTTCCACCATTTGCGCCATCTTCTGTTCATAAAAACTCCTCATCCTGTCGAAGTTTTCTTGAGCTTGACGAATGTTTTGCACCAGCTGCTCCTTCAGAGAAATATCGTGAGCCAGGTCCTGAACCGACTCGCCAAGGTGACGCTGACGTCGCTGGAACACGCGCATACGATCTGCTTCCTCTTGCTTTTCCTCCTCAACTTCAGTGCCGTCCGCCGAGCCTTCACCATCATCGTCGACTCCGCTTCCATCATTGTCAGCGCCTGCACCATCGCCGCTATCACCTTCTCTCAGTTTATTAAGCAGAGCTGTTTCTCTCTCAATCTCCTTCTCCGCCCTTTCAAGTAATTGCTCACCACCGACGTTTGTGTTGACGTCCGCTAGGGAGGGAAGGACGAATACAGCAGCAGACGCTGGTCGATCTCCACTACACTTGCTGCTGGTGGCTAATCCCGGATAATGTATCATGACGTTGTCGCGGTCTTGCTCGGTTGCTCGCAGCTTTTCTTGCAGTTCATAAATTGTCCGGAGCTGTTCTTTTAAGACACTTGACTTTGCCTCTTTCTCCTCCGAAGACACAGAATTTCCACCTGCACTTTCCTCGACGCACATCCTCAAGTAGTCGCGTTCTGCTTGTGCTGCGATCATCTCTTCCTTCAGATGATCTAGTTGGGTTTTACCACGCTTCAGCTCAGCTGTCAATCGGGCCACTTCACTTTCAGCGTTCTCAGCACGAGTTCGGAGATTGCCAAATGAGTCAAAGTCGTTCGCCATACCAATGAAATTCGTGCCTACACTATCCATCCTTAGTTCGTTTTCCGAAAGTCCCGGATTGCGCAGTCGATGCACTTCCATCTGAAGCATTTCTACCTGACGACGTAATTCTATCGTCATGGCTGATGCTTCATCACGGTTGACCACAGGCTTGTTCTGGATATTCCTCGCTCGATTTGCATACTTAAGCGCGTTCAGCGTCTCTTCAAAATTCACATCAGCAGGACTCACACATGTAAGCATCAATGTTCGGCTGTTGCCGCCCAGGGAATCTTGTAGCATACGAGTCAACTTTGAGTCTCGGTACGGAACGTGAACTTTGCCCCGCTTTTTGTCGTCTCCCAATGCGCTGATTACGTTGCCGAGTGCAAGAAGACCCTTGTTGATGTCAATGCCTTCTTTTAGTCGTTTGCCTTCTGCTTGAGTTCTCTTCTGCCGTTCCGAGCCAGCGAGGTCTACAAAATTGAAGTACGAGTTTCTCGTCTCGTAATCTCCTTCTCCCATTGATCTTCCGTCACCAGGAAGGCTGCCAATAGGAATATGCTGTTCAATAGTAACCGTAAAAATGGCATGGGAACGACTTGAGTGGGCGTTCATGAGTGTACTGCCCGTCGTCCGACACAACGTGCCTCTCTCAAGCAACCTCATGCACTCATCCGAGTCCATCACTTGGACTTCAGAAGCTCCCGTGACATGCACTTCTCCATGCTCTGCTTCGCGTAAACTGACTTTATTGACTCCTGTCGAGCCCCCCAACGGCACGAGGAGGTCATGGATTTCCTCTCCATAGATTTCCAAAAACCGAATCTTGAGCGTGGCCTTGTAGTGCTCGTTTTCCTGTGCCTTGCCGTCCATTTGATCGAACATGTAGCTGATCACTCGCGGAATAATGCCGTAATCCTCCGGTGGGATATGCACCGCGCTGCCGCTGCCCATAGTGTACGTCTTTCCCGAGCCCGTTTGGCCGTAAGCAAAGATCGTGGAATTGTAGCCATCAAACGTGGCCCGAATGAGTGGATCCACACAGCACCAGATGTCGCTCTGCTGGGCGTATTTGCCAAAGACGTAGTCGTACGTGAACGCGCGGTTCTTGCCCATGACGATCTGTTTCTCCTCTTCTAGCACGGACACGCACTCGTCACACCGCTCGACTTTCTCGCGACCAATGAGCGGACGGATACGCACGGCCACCCGCACGGACGCCGCATCGTCGTCTGCCATACTGAGGTGGACGGATAGATGGATCCCTTCCGGAGGCTGCCTGCCGTTCGGGTGGATGAGTGAGAGCTTTTCAGAAGGTGGCTGCGGGTGTTTATGTTGCGCTATTGCTTATGTTGCGCGGAGATCGCCTGCGACTTCTTCATCCTGGTAAAGTCAACAAGCACGAAAAGAACACAGCCGTCGGTTCTCATAATTATTAACAACTCGTCGCGCATAGTTACCGCATTTGCCCTACAAGCGCCACAAGGCTCGCGACTTCCTTTGATTACGGCAACTGCGTATTGCCTAATCTTTGTCGTTGCCAAAAAGGCTGTCGAAGAATCCCATGATACCGCTGCCGCCGTCGCCGCTTGACTCTTCCGACCCGACGTCAGCGAAGTCGTCAGAAGTGCTGTCATCGCCCGAGTCGCTGCCACTGCCACCGTAAATATCGCTATCCTTTGCGCCCCAGTCATCTGCGGTATCGTCCAAGTCGACATTGTCTTCAGTATCGACAACAGGTCCTCCGCTGGCCTCGTCCGCTGTACCAGCGTTGGCATCTTGATCGCCTCCGCCGCCGCCCATGAACGGAAACATCATGCCGCCTACGCCATTGCGAGGGATTCGAGCTGCCATTTCTCCAATCACACGCTCAAATGGCAAGCTCTGCAGATAGATTTTACCTGGCCCAGTGAGTGTCGTCACGAACAACCCTTCGCCACCAAACAATACATTCTTCGCTCCTTTCATCATCGTGATGTCGTAATGCACGCTGGGTTCAAACGCAACAAGACAGCCACTTGAAATACGAAGCACCTCACCAGGTTGCAGATCGCGCTTGATTAAAGTACCCGAGGCGCGGACAAGCACGTCACCGTTACCGGTAAGCCGCTGCAAAATAAACCCTTCTCCACCAAAAAAGCCGACGCCAAACTTCTTGGCAAACTCCTGTAAAATAATCGATGTCATTGAACTTCCATCGATACCTTGCGTAGTAAATCAAGACGCATTACAAACCATTTCAATGTTCACGGTGTCGGAGCCACACAAAAATGCCCCCTTTTGACAGATGATGGACCCGCCGAGAAAATCGCTCAGACGTAGATGAATGATCTTGCTTGGAAAGCTCGTACCAAGAGCCACCTTGCCGGTTTCGCTGCCATCGTATGTAAATCGTGAGACGAAGAAGTTCTCTCCAGTCATCAATCTGTAAAGCCGCCGCAATAAAGTCAACGTTACCAGAGTCGCTATGAAAAAGCAAGCACTACAGAGGCAACACACACCTACCGCTTCATGCCTTCACCCATACCCCCAGCAGTCGTCGTCTCCATCTTCACGCCATCGGTCATGTAGATCATGGCACCTGTTTCCGCGCGAAGACATTGCCCAGGCTCGAGCTCAATCTGCGATATCCATGCAACGTATTCAGTGTCTGTAACGCATAGATTTATTGGAAAGGAACTTGGACTTACGTGCACCACCTGCGACTCATGGCCTTCGATCGACATGGCTGTATCGAAGTCAATGGGTACAAAGACGTCGCTCCCCGTGCTCTCATGGTGGGACACTGTGGCCGCAGATGAGTCCTCGCTCGCTTCCTCTCTTGATATACAATGTGCATCCTCTACACTCCGGGAGCTTACGCCCGGGAGGTGGCGAACAGTCTTGCGCAGGTCTTTATTGAAGTACACCACGTCTCCTACACACAAATTACAATCAGTCTCACGGTATTTCTGGAGGAAAGGATCGGGATCGCGTAACGCACCATTCTTGCGTGTTATGGCCTCCCATCCATCTGGTAGTGAAGACGAAGAGTGCGTTCTAGCCTGGAGTAGGCGCGCGAAACGGAAAGAGGTCGCGACTTTCGGTACGTGAGGGAGCAGCAGCTGCATGCGATGCAGCATCACTTCAATGAATGAACCGCTGTGAAGAAATGGCTCGATCGTCGGTGGTGTGGTGGACACCACAGCTGAGTCGTGAGTCTGAGCGCGTGGGTTGTCAACCTATGCACGCATTGCAATGCGCTTATTTGATAGGCAAGGGAGAAGTATACGTAACTTAATCAGAGAGAAGCTGGTTCACAGCGACGAACGACAATATGCGTCTTAAAACAACCCTGTCATGGGACACGACATCCGTTTTATGCGTATTTTTAAACCTTGGAGCACTTTGATTTACTCGTCGAATTACGAAAGTTACGGACAAATGTACTTTCCTGACGAGAAATTTGCGTTATTTTAACAAGAACCAGGCGCGCCAACCAGCACAGTCTTCGCTTTCCGCAGTGCTCATGCCATCCCTCCTGTTTTCAAATCGTTCCCTTTCGAGACCGTGTACTTGATCGTTGTATGTGCTTCGGCGGGAACAACAGGAGTGATGGTCTGCTTCATTTTAGCCCTCAAAATTTGATCCTAGCGCTAATTTTCGCGCGCCTCCTCCGCAGCGCGTATTGCCTCATTCGCCAAAAGTCCGATTTTCCCTCAGAGCTCGCGTCAGCCAGCCAAGCGCCGCTGAGGAACTCCGTCTACCCCCGTCACACATTAATCAACCGGTACGACGAAGCATCTGATCCGGTCTGTCACTACTGGCTCCCCTCTCCCTCCCGAGCACCTCTCTGTCTGTAGAGGTGGCAGGGAGAAGGGGGGGAAAGGGCATCACCCTCGTCGGTCGGTCTGTCCTCTTGCATGTCTCTAGCTAACTCCCTCTCTCTCTCTCTCTCTCTCTCGCTGCTTCCTTTGGTGACAGGCACCATGCGAGAACTCGTCCACATTCAGGGTGGCCAGTGCGGAAACCAGATCGGTGCCAAGTTCTGGGAAGTCATTTCCGACGAGCACGGCGTGGACCCCACGGGCTCGTACCACGGCGACTCGGACCTGCAGCTGGAACGCATCAACGTGTACTACAACGAAGCAACGGGTGGACGCTACGTGCCTCGTGCTATTCTCATGGATCTCGAGCCTGGCACGATGGACTCGGTCCGCGCTGGTCCGTACGGCCAGCTCTTCCGTCCGGATAACTTTGTCTTTGGACAGACAGGGGCTGGTAACAATTGGGCCAAGGGACACTACACGGAGGGTGCGGAGCTTATTGACTCGGTGCTGGACGTTGTCCGCAAAGAGGCTGAGAGCTGTGACTGCCTACAAGGTTTCCAGTTCACGCACTCGCTCGGCGGTGGTACCGGCTCTGGTATGGGCACGCTGCTTATCTCAAAGATCCGAGAAGAGTATCCGGATCGTATTATGTGCACGTACTCCGTGTGTCCGTCCCCCAAGGTGTCGGACACTGTCGTCGAGCCCTACAACGCTACGTTGTCGGTGCATCAGCTCGTGGAGAACGCTGATGAAGTCATGTGCCTTGACAATGAGGCCCTGTATGACATTTGCTTCCGCACGCTAAAGCTCACGACTCCTACTTACGGTGATCTGAATCACTTGGTGTGTGCTGCTATGTCTGGTATCACGACGTGTCTACGTTTTCCGGGTCAGCTGAACTCAGACCTCCGCAAGCTGGCCGTGAACTTGATTCCGTTTCCACGTCTTCACTTCTTCATGATTGGGTTCGCTCCGCTGACGTCGCGAAGCTCGCAGCAGTACCGTGCGTTGACGGTGCCCGAGCTGACGCAGCAGCAGTTCGATGCTAAAAACATGATGTGTGCCGCCGACCCTCGCCATGGCCGCTATTTAACTGCCGCGTGTATGTTCCGCGGACGTATGAGTACGAAGGAGGTGGATGAGCAAATGCTGAACGTGCAGAACAAGAACTCGTCGTACTTCGTCGAGTGGATTCCCAACAACATCAAGGCTAGCGTGTGTGACATCCCGCCCAAGGGGTTGAAGATGAGTACCACCTTTATCGGTAACTCGACCGCAATCCAGGAGATGTTCAAGCGCGTGTCTGAGCAATTTACGGCCATGTTTCGTCGTAAGGCTTTCTTGCACTGGTACACTGGTGAGGGCATGGATGAGATGGAGTTCACGGAGGCCGAGTCCAACATGAACGACCTCGTGTCCGAGTACCAGCAGTACCAGGATGCGACCGCAGAGGAAGAGGGCGAGTTCGACGAGGATGAGGAGATGGATGATATGATGTAAGGGCAACGACCTTACTGATCGCGTGCGTGGCTTAGCTATCTAGACTTGAAGAGGTTAGTGGCTCGGCATTTACAGAACAGAGATCTAATTACCTTGCTTAACAGGCTGCTTTTTGAAATTATACATTTCCGTCGCGAAGCTCATTTATTTTGCGAACTCGTTTCTGCTCAACTCAAGTCGAATAATTGCAGTCCGTATCATGAAGTGCCACGTGTCTGCGCAAAAAGGATACAAAAAGTGAGTCACGGACTCGTTGTTGAAGCTGATTGGCTAGACACGTGCAGTTACCGCGTACATTGAGCGATCAGTTCTGACTCCATGTTGGCGATGTCTGACTTTTTGAGGTGCTTCAGGACTCACTTCCCCAGCAGCGACTTCAGCGGTCACTCGAGATTTGCGGTCAGCGCATCGCGCAGCCGTATGTATGTATGGAAGGGTACGTTGCGGATACCGTTCATTAGGAATGATCCGTAAAGTGAGACGCAAGCGTCCATACGTATTGAACAAAGTGCAGAGCGGCCGCCGAAAGGATGGCAGAAACCGGCGTGTACTTTGCAGTGTGAGTCATCCGCTCGAACGCCCACCCGGACTGTAAGTGCAACCTGTTTGCACCTGCTAGCGGCTTGCGAGCAGTTCTCTCGACGATCGCGTCTGCCCAGCAGGACGGATGACAGCTTCTCAGCTCGTCTTCTCGTGGACAGCTTCATCACAACCAGACAAAGTCGTGATGCGTGCAGCTACCGCACCCAGCACGTCTCCAACAACGAGCGTGCCCTTCGTCGACATCGTTGCTCCATCTAGTCCTGTGCTCTGCGTCACTGACTAAGTGACAATCTGTGGCTTCGGTCGCTTTGCAGGACTACGTCCAGGGATCTGTGTCAAAAGCACCAAACCAGCAAGAAGGTTAGCGGACGATCCGTAAATGACACTGACTGTGAGTGCCGTTTCCCGGCACACCAGAGCGAGTTGCGACCGTTTTTCGGTTGCTTGATTGCTACTGACCAGGACATCGGCGTCGTTCGGATCCTTGACCCAGGTAATGTTGCTGACGTTGGTGCTCTCCTTGAAGAGCAGCACGAACTCGCCCACACGCTCCACGTTGCCGCCCCATAGGTAAATGCGGCTGCTCTTGAGCACGACCTGCGTCCCTGACAGACACAAAATGTCTCCCAGATGCACCTGCAGCGCCGTCGTCTTGGGCAGCACGAGACTCACGCAGCCCGAGTCGTCTCCGACCAGCAGCGTCGCGTTGTTGCTCACGTTCCCCTCGTCCTTGGCATTGCACTCCATCACGATCACCTTCACATGCACCTCCTTGGTGCACAGAGCAGGACTCAGCTCCTTCACACGCGTCAGCGGCTTTTTGTTGCTGCGGCTGGTCATTGTCCCTTGTATCAGGTTCTAGAGAGAAAGCGTTCGGGTGGGTGATGAAGTTTCGTCGTAGTATAAGCGTTTATACAAACGACGACGATGCGGGGTTGTTTACTTGCCAGATTGGCGAAAACTGGTTGAAACAAGAGTTTAGCTGCGGGTATCCGCCACTTGTAGCACGACGTCGACTATACAGCCTTCGAGCGTCTTTCTTGTATACCCATCCCTAGTGTACATCGTCGAGTTTGCCGGATCAAACCTTTAACGAGCGGATCCGACCGACGCGGTGCAAATCTTCGTGCGTACGTCGAGTGCTCCAAAGTTATGACATCTCCAAAGCTCTGTAGCTGCTGCTGGGATTGAGATGTCAGTCGTCTAGTGACAACGATCCTCGATTTCTTTGCCGGTCAGTGAGAAACCTCTGTTCATTCTTGTGAAAGTGCAAGGACTCTGCATGACGGACGAGGTGCAAAAGATGTGGGTTAGAAGTAGACAGGATGCCTTGACGTTCTTGCACTGCGAGTGGCGTCATCAGAAGGAGGCAAGAGGTAGGCGAAATCAGCACGCTGCATCAGATCTTCGACTTGCGTGGTGCGAAGAAGGGCCCCGAAGGTACTTGAAGCCGTTGCCGATCAGATTGAGGCAACAGCTGAGCAGATGTGCGAGGAGCGTTGTCTCTTGGCATGAACCGAACGCACGACCAGATTTGATAGCATCCTTCCACATTGCCGTGTTTGCTTCTTGCCATCCATGCGAGTGCCCGGCCCTCTACTGTTCTGCGTACAGAGCTACATTACACAGCCAGAACTTCGAAGTTCGGGCAACCAGTTGTCGGAACTGTTGCGGCCTCAGTCCTTAGGCGGCGACAGCAACATACCGTTCGGTAACTAGCTTGCTGGGTCGTCATCGTCGGACATTTACAATCCGAACACAATGAAGGACCGACGACAACGAATCGTGACTCGTTAATATGCGCTACACCGACCTACACTGACACGCTCTTCTTTAGACGAAAGGACAACGAAAGCTCGTAGCTGATAGCATGCGTACGAATAGAGGAGCAGTGCAGTCGCGTAACCAGGTTCCATCCGGCTACATCGCGAGCTTAAGCTGTTTTGAAACTTGCTAGTTGCACGCACAGACGGTAAAATAAACTCGGGTGATGCCATCTCGGTATCCACCCACCCACTGGTTGGGATGTACACATCCTGGTGAAGCCACCGCATCCACCGCATCCACCCATCCACTATCACCTATTTCACCCCCTCTCCCGTCGACCCACTAAAAGACCCACAGTGTCCTTTCTACCGATTTTCGCGGGAAAACACAAAAGCGTTCAGCAGCCGCTACGATAGAAACGCACGTTTCTATCCACACACCCAAATTCGCGCACGCGTGACCACTCGTCGGTCATGCTCCGTCGCCTGCGCGTCCCCGCCGCCGTGCGCCGTCTGTCCAGCACGACGCAATCGCTGCTGCCCAACTACCGCCGCATGATCCTCGAGTCGCGCGTGTATGACGTGGCGGAGCAGACGCCGCTGCAGGAGGCGCCGGCTCTGTCCCACGCGCTGCAGAACCGCGTGTTACTCAAGCGCGAAGACCTGCAGCCGGTCTTCAGCTTCAAGATCCGAGGCGCGTACAACAAAATGTCAAACTTGACAGACGAGGAGAAGGTCGCGGGCTGTGTGTGTTGCTCGGCTGGGAACCACGCCCAGGGCGTGGCTTTGTCGTCACGCAAGCTCGGAATCCGCGCCAAAATCGTCATGCCATTGGCCACGCCCGACATTAAAGTGAGCGCTGTGCGTCACCATGGAGGAGACGCGGTGGACGTGGTGCTCCATGGCAAGACGTTCGACGACGCGGCCGCAGAAGCTCGGAGATTGGTGCAGGAGGAGCACCTCACGTTGATTTTGCCGTTTGACGACCCGCACGTGATTGCTGGACAAGGCACGGTTGGTCTGGAGATCTTGCAGCAGACGAGCGGATCAGGAGAGGAGCTGGAGGCCATTTTTGTCCCGTCGGGAGGAGGCGGGATGCTCGCGGGTATTGCAGCGTGGGTCAAGCAGATCCGACCGAGCGTTAAGGTCATTGGTGTCGAGGCAGCTGATGCCGCGGGCATGACGGCGTCACTGGCAGCTGGAAAGATTGTCGAGCTTGACCGGATCGGGCTCTTTGCTGACGGCGCAGCGGTGAAACGTGTGGGAGCCGAGACGTTTCGAGTTTGTGCCGAGTATGTTGACGAGATGGTGACAGTGTCAACGGACGAGATTTGCGCTGCTATCAAAGCAGGTTTCAATGACACCCGCGCGATTCTCGAGCCGGCGGGTGTGCTCTCGATTGCCGGTATGATGCAGTACGCCAAGACGCGCGGCCTATCGGGCTGTCAGTTTGTTGCTGTGACGTCTGGAGCAAACATGGACTTTGCTCGTCTGCGGTTCGTGTCTGAGCGTGCAGACTCACACGAGCGACTGCTGGCCGTGGAGATTGACGAGACACCTGGTGCCTTTTTGCGCCTCAACCGCCGTTTGGACGCCGCGGGTGTTCGTATCACTGAGTTCAGTTACCGCTATGACGATGCTCGGAAGGCGCGAGTGCATTTGTCGTTCCACTCGCCATCTTCGGAACACGCCACTGCTGCGATCCGTGAGCTGCAGGAGGACGATTCGCCATCGGGCTTTGCACTTGGTGGTGCCTACCACGTGCTAGACCTGTCGGACAACGAGCTGGCCAAGGTCCACACGCGATACTTGGCTGGTGGCCGAGCTCGTGGTAACGTGCGAGACGAACTGCTGTATCGCTTCGAGTTCCCAGACCGCCCACGGGCTCTAGGTACATTTTTGGAGGCGCTGCAGAGCTCGTGGAACATCAGTCTGTTCCACTACCGCAATCACGGCGCCGATGTCGGTCGGGTACTTGTGGGCTTCCAGGTTGCTGAGGAGGACCACAGTCGCTTTCGAGATTTCTTTGAACCAGTTGGCTTACGTCTTTCACGAGGAAACAGACAACCAAATGTACCAAGAGCTGTTGCTTTGAGCGGGAATGCACGATGATTGCATAGAGATGTACATTATAGAGTGACGCGGTTGCCAACGATAGTCCGTTAGCGACAAAGCTTGCGGGACGAGCGTGCAGAGACCACAGCGTGAACAAGAATGAGCTTGGAAACATGACCGTAGACGGGTAGCAGCGTGGGTTCGTGCAGTGTTGCTGATCTGCATCGAAATACGACCGAGAGCAGTTTCGAGATGGTTAAGCTTCTTTAGAGTAGATACGTCCATGTTACAGTGAAGCGAGGGTTGTTACCGTTCATTAGTGCAGACACTATGGTTGATTCAATAGATGGTCTGAGATCAGCATTATAATCAACCATGAGGTGGTGACTACATCAGCCAAACCACTGGGTAAGACTGCGTCAATTCGGGAGGTTGCAACTTGATTTGAATCACTGGTTGAACTGGTAACCTATCGCAGGAAATGAGAACTGTCGATGCCGTAAGTTCACCTGGCTATGATTGACTCCTACGACTAGCTCTACTGACAACGTACGAAGAGATGCGAGGAATACAGCCACTGCATAAGCAAGCTGCAGGCAAACGTCTGCAAGACCTAGCTCTCTAGTCTGAATCCGAGTCGGAGTCGTTCAGGATACCAAACGGGTTGGCTGTTTTTGCCGGCGCCGGTTCCAAGATCTTGATCTTGACAGGCTCAACTCGCTTCGGGCGAACTTCCGACTTCCGTGCAGGAACGTTTTCCTTTACAGAAGCACCACGACCACGACCGCCGTCGACGTTTTCCTTTACGGAAGCACCACGACCACGACCGCCGTCGACGGGACGACGGTCACCACGGCCACGCCCTCGACCGCGACGAGAGCCATCGTCACGTGAGCTCTTGCGAGCGGACACAGCAACCTCGGCGTCAACCTTAGCCTTGGCCTCTTTGGCTTCTGTGGCCTCCTTAGCCTCCTTAGCTTCCTTGGCCTTTTCCTTCGCCTCTTTGGCCTTCATCTCGCGCTCGAGGTCCAAAGCTTTCTTACGCTCCAAGTAAGCACTTTCATCGCGCGGCTTCGCCTCACCAAAAATGTTGGGCTTGTGTTCGCCCGAATCTTTTTGCCCGGAAGAAGTGGTGCGTGGTAACAGCGACAGACGCGGGCGTTCTTGTGGAGCAATGTTGCCCTCACTGCGTCTCCTTCACATCCAAACGCAGTACAGCATCAGACACTTTGCAAAGCAAACCAATGAGCCAGTGACCACTCGCAGCAACAACTTACCGCGAACGATCAGTCGATGATTGGTCGCTACGCTTCTCGAATCGCCCCTTGTCGCGTGACTTGCGATCACTCTCGAGCACCACGTCCATCTTAACTCGACGGCCGTCACAGTCGACTCCGTCCAGCTCGAGCGCTTTTACGAGCTTTTCCTTGTCGTCAAACTCCACAAAAGCAATGCCCTTGGACCGATTGTCATAGTCACGTGGAAGTCGAATGTCTTTAATGCCGTCGACACCGATAAACTCGGCCAGATCGTCTGGTGTCACACGGTACGACAAGTTGCCCACAAACAGCTGCACCAAACGTCGCGACGTCAAACTCCTTCATCCGGTAACCACTCACTCACTCACTCCTCGCAGTAGCTCCTCACCTTCCACGGACCAGCGTCCGGCACCGGGTTCTTGGGCCGCTCCTCTCGTGGGGCACGCACCTCGCGACGCTCTTCGTACCCGCCACGACGGTCTCGATGACCGTCACGTCCTTCATCTCGAAAATGCTCGCGGTGAGAGCCTTGACGAGGTTCTGGTAGAGCACAAAACCGGTATCAATACCTCGTATAATACCCTCTCTGCGACTAACGCGACCTCTTCTTGCGAAACAGCACTGGTATAACCGTTTCTATAGACATAGAAATCAACACATGGGTACATACCGTCGTATTGCTGCTCTCTTTTTTGCAGCGTCTCTTCCTCTTCGATAGGCGGTGGCGTCTCCGTTCTGTTTGGCACACGATAGAAATAGAAAAAGTGACTTGTGGCCACACATGGGTACAAAACAACGCCACGCGATGCATGCAAGTAACGTACGCAGAGATTTTGGCGGAACCCGGTAGCGGCTGGAAGTCCGCGTCATCGTCGTCATCGTCCGCCCAGGAGCTGGTGCCGCCGCGCGAGAAGCCCACGTTCAGCGCCATGCTGCTGCTGCGTGGAACTTGCGTGGTGCTGCTGCTTCTTCGGCTTTACGTGTCGGCGCTTTTTACGAAATAGAAATGGATGGGCAGGATAAAGCAGTTTTCTTGATCTGCATGAATGCAAGTGGGATGGCAGAGTAGAAACGCGTGAAACGTCAACAAGTGACATGTTATAAAAAGCTGAGTGTCAACAATGTCAGGAGAAGGCCACACAGACAGGAGGTCAATCTCCCGTGCTAGATACCGGTACACACGATCGATCTGAGGAGAATTAGTGCAGATCAACATATCAGCACTTGAAACACGTGCCCACGACTTGACTGGTATCGTCACGGTATACTGACCCAGCGGTCCTGGCTCGTCACAGTCGCAGTGCGGTGTTTAGAAACGCGTCCGCCGTCCACGCTCACCACCAATCAAACGCATCCATCCACTCACTCACTCACTCGCCCCAGCCAACGGAGAAGAGCTCGAGAGCGATGGCAGGCGGGGGCAAGAGCATCAAGAACTCGGCGAGCAAGCAGGCTCAGCGTGCGACGAAGAAGGTGACCAAGCAGGCAGCAAGGACCAGCCGCAAAGTGACGAGCTTCGCGAAGCCGAAGCGCCTCAAGGCGTATGTCCAGCGTGCGCTCAAAGCCAAAGAGCCCAAGCTGGTGGAGAACACCAAGAATCTGCTGGTTCTGCGCGGCAAGAAGACGAACGAGGACGTGAACGAGCTGCTGTGCAATCTGCGGATGCTCAAGGCGCCGGATGCCACGTTCATGGGCAAGAAGAACGACATCCACGTGTTTGACGACGAGAACAAGGTGGAGTTTCTCACGCAGAAGAACGACGCGAGTCTCTTTCTAGTCGGCAGCAGCACGAAGAAACGGCCGAACAATCTGGTGCTGGGCCGCACCTTTGACGGTCACATTCTGGACGTGGTGGAGCTCGGCTTTTGCAATTTTAAGCCCATCAGTGCGTTCAAGTGCAAGAGCAAGAAGGCGCCTGGGTCCAAGCCCAGCTTTGTGTTCACGGGTGACCAGTGGGAGAGTGTCGAGGCATTCATGAAGCTGAAGAACATGTTGCTGGACACGTTTCGTGGTACAATTGTCCGTGGTGTGAACGTCAAGGGGCTCGACCATGTCATCGTGTGCACGGCGTGGAAGGAGACGGTGTTGTTCCGGTCGTACTCGATTGACTTCAAGAAGGGCGACGAGTCGCACCCGCGCGTAGAACTGGACGAGATGGGTCCGCGCTTTGATCTGCAGTTCTGTCGCACTAAGTTTGCTTCGGCTGATGCAATGAAGGCGGCCACTAAGAAACCCAAGGGCTTGGTTCCTAAGAAGAAGAAGAATATTTCTCGCGATGAACTGACGGGTGATAAGCTTGGACGCATTCACATGGACCACCAGGATGTTTACTCGATGCAGAGCCGCAGGGTGAAGGCGTTGCGCAAAACACCTGCCGATCTTAAGAATGGCAAAGGCGCAGGTGGCGGTGAAGGAGAGGAGACGGAAGCCTAACGTATAGATCATGACTAGCTTTTATACCAACGATTCAGTCGTTTGCTTTACTAAGCGACAGCGCACAAGTCGTTCATGCTTTGCACTCTTTACGTGCCATCCGTAAAGCCGGCAAACGTCCGTGCTGATGTAATGCCGAGGCGCTAGTGGTCCGATCCATTGCACGCATATTCCAGGTCTCTCTCTACTGCAGTAGCTTGGCCAAGTGGTTGAAATCCGAAACAAACAGATCCGCACCTTCCTTGACGACATCACGGGTGACAATGCCGCCGAATCCGACAAAGAGATCGGCAGGCGGGCGCGCCTGGAGATCCGTCACACCGTCACCGACCATGGCAATCTTCTTGTAGCCATGAATCCGCTTGATGCTGGTAGTAGCAAAGTATGACAACGAACAACGAGTCAGTGACATTGGCAGGTTTCTCAACATCAACTACGGATCAACAACATACACTTCAATGGCCTTAGCCTTCCCTCCGTCGCGCGCCGTGAGCTCGGCATCATCGAAACCATTGTACTTTCCATCGCGATCGAAGAAGATGGTGTTGGCGTAGATATTGTAGAGAGGAATGCCAATCTTCTCAGCCACGGGCTCAATCATGAGGCGAAAGCCACCCGACACGAGAAACACAGCGATGTCCTTTTCCCGCAACACTGCTATGAGTTTCTTGATGCCTAAACAACGCCAGCAACTTCATAAGCATCTATACACGTATAAAAAGCCACAAGAAACAACAATCATCGACACTACCATACCCGGCGTGAACTTGGGTGGGTGCTGAGTCAAGCAGTCCTGAATGTCCTGTCTGGACGGCTTGATGATGTCCAGACGAGCCGCAAGTGCGTCTTCAAACTTGACGTCTCCGTTCATGGCCCTGCACAAAGTGGTACAACACACACACACACACAGCAACAGCACCCACTAAGCACTCGATCCTGACAGCGTCTCCCCTCTCCACTACCTTACTTAATGGTCCACTCTTGGACAGCTTTCCCAGCACCACAGTGCTCCGCAAGCACGTCGATGCCCTCGTCCTCGCACACGGTACTGTCAACGTCAAAGCACACTGCACCCACTGAGCGCCAGATGTCGCTCACAGTCTCAGGCTCTGGGGACGATGTAAAGCGATCCAGCATAGAGAGAGCCCGAGTAGTGCGCTGTATTGCCACAGATACAAACAATTCATACATTCAGTCAGTTAGTGAGTAGCTCGTCCAATGGTCAGTACTGACTGTCCCTTCATTGCCTCGTACCGGAGCTGCGAACGAACGGGTGACTTTGGCGAAGCTGTGGGCGAGCATTGTGACTAGGAGGGGTCAGACCAGTTCGGGTCGAAGTTGATTGTGTTGACAAATGGAGTGGATACCGTATCGCCCGGTGAACCGTTTGATACCGATACTTTTTTTCGAGTGGACGTTGGTTTGTGTACCGGTATTTCGGTATCTCCAGTTTCGAACGACATGAACCGACGAGTCGACGACAATGGAGGCAGCAACAATTCGTGGGTCTGGAGGGTCGCGTTCATTTATTTTGCTGCAAGTGTGCATAATTCTACAGTCACGCTAACATATCCGATAATACATGTGCTCAGTGGGTGGCGGCAGCTGCGTCCTGCCGATCCCACTCGGCAATGTTGTTCTCAATACCGTGTACGAGCTCGTTCACGTCGAGCCAGGGAATGCCATTCAGTGCGACGACCGCCGGGAGCGCCATCTCTTTGAGAAAACACACCTGACTACTCAGAAACTTTTCGTACGTCCACAAGTCACGGAAGCAGAACCACGGACTAACACGCCACCGCTCGCGCGCGTCCAGCTCGCCCTGCATGTAGTGCTCGTCGTTCAGGCGGAAGACCCACTTCTGGTGGTTCGTAAAAGGCTTCATCGTCTGGCTGATGTCGCTCACGTGCATGGCAATGCGCAAAGCGCGCACCTGCAAGTCCTGTGGCAAGACCGTGTCCTCTTCCTCAAGCATCTTCCACTCGTCCGCCGTCGTGTTGTTCACTTCAGCGAGCAGCTCAGGCTGATAAATAAGAGCTGTCGCGGAGATGGTTTCACGGATGACGTCGAGTACCTCGTTTTGGTAGACTGTCGTCATCTTGGACAGAATGCCAAACTTCGGATCGACGACAGCTTGCAAAGCTAGGTCCATGTGCTTGGACTCCATCGGAGCCTTTGTAGGGTACTCCTGCGCAATAGGGTGACAGGTTTTTATCAAAAAATCGTTGGTCAAACCAACGTGCTCTACGTCATGCATCACTGCCGCCAGCAGCGCTCCAATCTGATTGTGCTGAGAGATCTTGTCACCCAGACTCGTGTTCCACAGCATCATAAAGAGTGTGTGCATCACGTCTGCAGCATGGGTGGCATTATGAAACGGGATGTTGCCATCGTAACGCTCCTGAATATGCCTTAAAAAGCTCGGCATAACGCTAAGGTCTACGAAATCTTCGTCACAATCAATGCTTTGAAAGATCAACATGCCTACGAATACCACGACGTTTCCTGGCATAAACTCCTCCAAGGCGATTACATCCAATCCCGGCGTACCAAACGATGACTTGATAGTCTCTATAACCTGGTCAACAAACTGATCGGGCACGTCGCAGAGAGTGCAAATTTGACGAACTTGACCTTCACGGAAAATCTCGCTAGGACATCCTCGTCGCTTTCTAGACAAGGGAGTTGCCGTCATCGCTTCGTTTAAGTCACTATACCTTTCTTCATCAATGTCGTCCCAGGACAGTGTTGTCTGGTGCTCTCCACTACTATGCCTTGTCACAATCACATTCAGTTTGTTGCGAATAGCTGCAGGCGTCGGCACGGACTTCCGGTAATACGCCTGCGCACGGTCAAAAGCCGTGCTGCGACGTCGAATGCCAGCAGAAACCGACTTTAAATAAGATGTGAGCGTCTTGATCTTGGCTTCAATTGCGCCCGGTACCGGAAACCGTTTGCTCGCCATCGACGAGATCGACTTAAAGTAGTGCTTCTCATAGACATAGTCGTTCCCGCCCCCGGGGCTCGCACGCACGTCTGCTGCCGACTTAGTCCTTGGGATCTGCACGTCGTTCCCGAGCTTGAGGTCATAAACGCGGCTGTGTATATCGTCGTCGTCGCCGCTTCCGTCGTCGACAGCCGTCGGGTCTTCATGTCTCAACTCGACCACAAACGGAGGACCAGACGTGGACGGAGACGCAACGACTGAAGAGGAGGAGGAGGAGGAAGGAGAAGGAGCCAGGGCGGCTGGAGCTGCCACGGAAGAGCCAGAGGCGTCAACCGCCACCACTGCCTGCGGTTTACGGAAAGCCAAGAAGTGGTCCATGCGTCGCGTCATAGAAATACCGAGTCCAAGTGGCTGGGTGGGTAGGAGCGAGCGTGTTGTGCGTGGAGGCTCGACGGGGGGCAAATCTGACCTGCACCTGTGTCTACCGCGCGACAAACGAGTACTGCTGCCGAACGCTTCTGTCCACTGACGCCACCGGCCGCTTGCTCTCCCTGCGAGTTCGTTGTTGCCCGTCGTTTAACTTGTCCCCGCAAGACTGCAAATGGCCCACTCCATCTTCTTTGCGCCCTGGAAACCTCGCACGGCTCTCCGCCGCTTTCTGGGCACAGCAGTGAAAGTGTCTCACGAAAGCGAGGGGGCGCTGCTCCAGCTGGAAGTCCGTAGCTGGATTTGGCACTAGACCCAGGTGGTATTCGTCGAAAATAGCTCAAGCAACACCTGACTACAACGACGTGCGCGAGAATCGCTTTGTGACACTTGGTGGCGTTCCGTCTTGACTCCAGCTGACTATGGCATCACGTACGTATCCACCCCCACTCGAGTGAGTGAGTGAGTGAGTGAGTGAGACTTCAATCGTGGTACACTTTCGTTCGGACGTCTCACGTTTCCTTGTCGCGCGCAGCATGGAGGAAATGTAAAGGCGATGTCTACCTATTGATATGTACATTTCCAACGCATGCATGGCAGTACCGAGCACGCTGGTGCCCTGCTGCTTTAGTTGGCAACAGAGGGAGAGGCAAGGGTTTGCTGTTTCTTTTTTCGTCGTGGCTGTGCCAGCAGCTCCTATACGAGAGATGCAGCCGTCACAATGCAGTGAGTGACCTTGGTCTCGCAAGGAGATAGACCGGTAGGCAAATCTCGGCACTACGAGAGGATCACACGGACGCCGCGTGCTCGACTAATAAATGCTGCAATCGAACGCGCGGGTGTAATTAGCAACAAGCGAAAAAGTGTAGGAAAATGCGGCGACTCGCCTCTCGCGTAACGCAAGCGACAGCCGCTTCTGCCTGAGCCATGAGGTGAATCCATCCCGAACGAAGGTAGAACCGGTCCGCTCTCAACGAAAACGTGGCGGCGGGCCGCGGTATCGTACCGGGTACGTGCTTGCCGTGACGCGGTTTTTTCTGCGTACGGACAGGGCACGCTGCGACGTGCCGCACAGGCAGAGGCTGGGTAGAAAGTATCTGCGAGCTCCACCGAGGCCTTGAGTCATACAAGTGACGATGTATACTCTACTGGAGCCAGTGGGTCGGTCTCTCCCTCCTCAAAGCGAGCGAAACGCGGATGGGCAAGGGCTAGGGCGCCATGTCTCGACAAGCTGCAGCTACGTGGTCCACGTATCGTCTGAACTTCAAGTAGCTCAAGCGTCGCCTGCGGACAGTCCTCACAATCGAAAAGCTCACGCCCGCGCAACCATTTTGGGTACGCTGGTTACGGACCCGCGCATTGGTTGCGGGCTTCTCCGAGCAGCTGTCGAGGGGCGGAACAGACTGAGTGCGACACGTTGATGTTTGGCAGCTTGACTGGTGTAGTCGTTTGGACTGTACGCTGTTAGTTTAGCCCTTGAGATGGCTACCAAGAAGCTGATCGTACTGTGGCTACCGACGTCAGCCACATCGAGGTGGACGAACTAAATGACAACGTGGCAAGTCTTACTTGTCCTTGCAAAAGAGTGGTGGATGTCAAAGACGAGTTACGGCCAGCACTAATGCCGAGGTATCTTGATGACAAGGGGATGGGCTGAAATTGACGTCAAACAAATTTGATGAGGCTATGTGCTGCAATTGCTTGGAAGCTGGTTAGAGATTGCGGTCATTGGATACATGTCGAGTCGCGCGAGATTGGAACGATACAGGAGTCGGTATTCACAGGGATACTTGTTATTTGCCTCAACATGCGGCTGAGGAATTGGAATGCAATTCGGTGGAACTGTATGAACTGAGGCTTCGCTGCTCACTGGTGGATAGATTGTGAGCAAACGTGTTGCTACGATGTAGTCACTTTGCGATGGGATCGATTTGACGACAAGACGCCAGCGACCAAACGTGTCGTTACGTCCGTCGGCTACCTCGTGTACACGCAACGATGGTGGAATGTTGTGTTTAGTTGTCCTAGATTGCTGTAGCGCCATCGATGATTACCCCCTCCATGGCCCATAATGACGAAAGCTTTTCATTACCGTTGATGCATCATTGCGTCTTAACACAACGCCGATTGAAGCCGATGGTAGGCTACGGAAGGCGTGCTTTTGTGAAAGCTTGAGCACAATAGTGCTGCCGTATGTTACCACAGTCGTGACGGACCCCTACGTTGTCAGCGAACAAATTATGCGTACCGAGCTCGTCACTCTGAGCTCAACGTGTACGCAGCAACGCCATGGTCGACCTCACACGCATGTTGAGGTCAGACAAGCGTTTGACTTCATTAGCAGTGCTCAAGCGATTTTTTTCTGAGTCCAAGATCGTACCGCGTTGACCGGCTTGCCTCTGTGACCAACGCGACTGACTTTAACGCCCTATCAAACGCGTGCCCACCGTATTTGATATGGCGTTGGACAAGTGATGCCAGACGTGTCAGACTTGATGTGCTGGACCAGATGCAGGCGATGCTGTTGATCTTTCTCCAGCACGCAGCTGTTTAGACGTGGTAAAGCACTGAGCGGTAGGCTGCCACTCTTTCTTGGGAACTTCATCGCTGCATTTGTTTTAACGGTCACCCTTACTACAGTTGGCGACGTTGACGAGGTGTTCGTACTGGAATAATGCTTGCGTGTGGTACGGCAAGATGGGAAGTTGCATTATTGAGGAATGGATGGCGCATCTAAAATGTTGTGGCACTGATTGCGATGCTGGTACAAAAGTATGCTGGAACGTGGCCGCGTGCCAACATCTTGGTCCCGACTTCTTCAGGATGTAATGCAGCAAGCGCGGTGGTGCAGAGTGCGAAGACCGTAGAACTGCGTAGGCACTTGCCCGTCTGCTCTTGCTATGCTAACTCAGTGGATTCGTGTCGCTCGTGAATGAGCTGCAATAGACTCATTTATATCTCGTTGCAGCAGGCACCAATTGCTCGTGCTCGCACCATACCGCTGCGGTAGTATGGCATGTTCCCATCCTTGCAAGGATCGCGTTAGCGCATGATTCGATTCGATGCCTTTGGATTGCCGTCCAAAGAGTGAGCTGGCACTCTTTCCAGCGCGGTTGAGATGAGTGCGCGGGGATCACCAACGGTGCGGAGATGATATTCTCGGCATTGCTGACCATTCGATGGCTGCACCGGTCGAGTTCGCTACACATTTGCTCTGCAGTCCGCGAACTGAGAGCGCCAGCACTTTGCTTCCAGACGTTCAGTGGCAGGTCGTGGCTTCGAGATGAATGAACGTGGAGACGTACACCGTGATGAAAACACGGTCTTTGTCTTTTGCAGCACTCGCTCAGTTGCACGTGTTCAACTGGGTTGGCCATCTGATGGCAAGACGCATCAAGAAGAAAACAGCAGAGTGCGATGGAAAGTAGGCTGTGGAAAAGCCCAAGCAGGCGGGCAGAAGTCGCAGTCGTATCACGTTAAACTGCTTTGCTCGAAACGCCTCACACTTTTACAATCGAACTTTTACACATGTTGCACATGATAACGTGTAAGTAAATCGACGATCTTGAACCTCCTCCTCCATTGACAATAGAACGCACAAACTCGTCACAGTATCGTTTTATTTGCACCTCAAAATGCATGGAAAAACACCCAAAACATCAGGTTTACTGCCGAGCGCAGACATTCGAAAGCCGTTGCGAATCCACATCATATTTGCCACAACGGTCACTGATTGGTCAATCAGTAGAAAGGCTGCAGCTTCTCTCGTCATCCCTCCTTTTTCCATACTCTGTGGTGCAATCTTGCGGCGGGGCGACATCGCCAGTGCGGAGAAGCTTTCCCCTGACGCACGCCCACTTGACTTTGTGCTGCAACAGAGAGAAGAGGAACCACATGCGCGCATCTCTGCTGCTCCCAGCGGCGCTACTGGCGCTCGCGACGCCCATCTCTGTGCGCGCGCGCTCCATGGACGTGGACGAGTGGCCGGCCACCGAGGTGCGTCCTGCTCTCCCTCCTCCTCCTCTTGTTGCTTGTGTCGCTTGTGCTCTGGATACTACTGAGCTTCCCCTCTGTCTTGTCTCGCGCTTGTTAGAGTGACCACACGAAGCTGCAGATGGTGTTGCCCGAGCGGCTCATGAAGAAGGACGGCTACGCGCACAAGGAAGCTCTCTTCGGCTACCCGTCGTACTCGACCGGGTCGCTCCAGACGCAGTTGGTCTATTCGAACGAATCAGGCTGTGAAGAGATTTCCAGCAGCGGCTGGGAGCCGCCGTTTGCGCTCCTATTGGACCGTGGCGACTGCCATTTTGTCAACAAGGTGCGCCACGCCCAGCGTGCCGGGGCGCGGGCGGTGCTCATTGCTGACAGCCGATGCCTCTGCACCGACGTCGAGTGTCTGCGCGAGACAGGGGACGATTTCTGTGAGACGGTGCTGCCGTTCATGGCAGACGACGAATCGGGCGGCGACGTTACGATCCCGAGCATGTTGATCCGCAAGAGCGACGGCGACGCGATCAAGCGCGAGATCGCCCAGAGCAAGGGCGTCAGCAATGTGATGGTCAAGTTTGACTGGGGCGTGCCTTCGCCTGATGGGCGCGTCGAGTGGACGCTGTGGCAGAGCGCGTGGGACGATCAGTCGCTGTCGACGTTGACGAATCTGGAAGAGATGGTCAAGGCGCTCGGTGACCGCGCGTTTTTTACACCGCGGTTTGTCTCGTATAATGGAAGTAAAGTGGGTTGCCACGATGAGACGGAAGAAGGGACGTCGGCCTGTGGCAACATGTGCTTGAACAATGGTCGCTACTGTCTGCTGGACCCGTCGCCGTCTCATGACCGTTCTACTGGCGCATCGGGCGCTGACGTGGTGCTGGAGAATTTGCGTCGCAAGTGCATTTGGAAGCTGGAGAGTGAGACCGACCCGGGCGTTGGACTCAAGTGGTGGAAGTATGTGAAGGCCTCTGGGGAAGCGTGCGGGAAGGATGAGGACCTTTTTCGGGAGCGATCTTGCGCCGAGAAGGTGATGAAGGAGCTGGGCATTGACATTGGAGCTGTGGAGAAATGCATGCAACCGTACGGTGTGGGTGTGGACGAGGTGAATCCTTTGCTTGAGGAGGAACTAAAGGAGCAGACTGCGCTTCAACTTTTGCACTTGCCTGCGCTGTACGTGGACGGGGTGCATGCTCGTGGCCGTGTGGACCCAACAAGCATTTTGGGTATGATTTGTGCTGGCTATGGTGTTCACGATCCTCCTGAGGTGTGCTCATGCGCTAGTCAGTCATCAGCTGGGCTCTTGGATTGTGTGAAGGTGGGCAGTCTCGCGAATGCTGCCGTCATCACGAGCAACGACGGGTACTCGTTTGCGTCGCTAGTTTTTGTGTTGCTTGCGTTCGTGGGTATTGTGGCTATAGGTGGCTTTGTCCACTGGCGTCGCACGCAGCGCCACATGCGCGACCAGGTGCGGAGCATTCTGGCTGAGTACATGCCGCTTGAGGATCAGTCGTTGGATGACGAGTATGATTTGGAAGATGAGAAGTCGCGTATGCTGCACCCGGCGGAGCGAGCTGCTGCGAAGAGTCCCCGCGGCTACATGCCATCGCGCGGCTTTCTAGAGCAAGACGAGGATGGTGGTATGTGAATGTCGACTGAGTGATCAGCTCGTCGGTAAGACGCGTTGCAGGGCTTGCGTCGTTTTTCCTTCATGAACCTTTGCCGGGGAAGTATTTCAGAGACAAAAAGGAAGCAAATGGCAGCCGTCGATGTGGATTGAACACGATGACGTTGGTCATGATAAGACACAGAATGTTTGAGCTTTGCAACCGCTTTCGTTGTGAGACCGTACGATTTTCTGTCTGCTTCTTGTTTGCCTTTGATTGCTAAGTAGTGTCTGCGTGACTAGGGCGTATATTCGGGGCGTAGAGGTATCGTGCTCTCGGTGTGGGTCTGCTCTCGGTGTAGGTCAAAAGTGTTCACGCAGTGGAGCCGACGATGGCTCGACAGACGACACTGCTCGCTCATAACCCGTTCGATTCGCTTCCATGATTTCTGACGTACGAGGCTGAGTATCCGTCCCATTATAGAAGGGCGGGGGTACGAATGTGGACACCAACAAAGCAGGAACGGCGACGGCAAGCTGTATTTTATCAGTTTTAGCAGAGGCCGTAAGCAGTCGACCCGCACGCTACTTCATGCGAGGAAAGGCTTGAGAAAGTGAACCACTGCATCAATTATGCATCGGGCCGAAAGACCTTCGGCACACCACTTACTTGCTCGTCATCAAAGTCGTGGTCACGAGACCGGCAGTGACGACGCATCTCAGCCACTATGTGAGCTTCGTTCAGACGCTGGACTATCTCCTGCATCGCGCAACATCGGACTCAAAACGCTTCACCGATGCAACGTAATCACACTTCACACGTCATGAATTCTCAAGTTCGACTTGACCTGCAGCTCGCTGCATTCATGCAACGGTAAGTCTCCGCATATCTTCTTGAATATAGTGTGCTTTCAATCCTTCTTCGTCATGGGTTTCTTGGCCTCACAGCGCTCAACGTACTGAAGCCACAGCTCTTCCAGTTGTTCGATCACCTTCTTCTCTTCATCAGAAATTGATTCTGAAGATTGAACCCACGCTACTTCGGCAAAAATCAATCACGGGCGACATCAAGAGCCACTCTTTCTTCGAGACACGTACCCAGCTTCTTGCGAACACCCTCCAGTAATTCTAATTCAGCGACGTTTGCCACTTTTCAGCACGCTCTTCCCACGCCACTCGACCGTCGGAGCGAGCCAAAAAAGAATGCCACCTCAGCTGTTGTTCTCTCATTCTTCATCAGCAGCTCAAACACAGCATCACTGGGATGCGCGGCGAATTTAGCAGAGTACGTGTCGACATAATCAAGCTGATCCACAAGCTCATCTGAGACAGTGGGCCAATCTGATGGTGAATTCTGTTGATCCCGACCTTGCTCCCCCACGGCGACAGGCATTATATGGTAAGCATCTTCAGGTAGCACGTTTGCCTTCAGCCAGATCTTGAACATTGACTCCAAGATATTGCTACCACTAGTCATGCTTGTAAAGCGTCGGCGCGAGCAGTCATACAATCTAAGCTCCGTAGCGAATAGAAAAGCGTTGGCAGCTCGTCCCAACTTATTTCAAACGACAGCTTCATGATTAGATCATCGCTGTCATACTTATTACCCATTTTATCTACGCGTCGACGTACTCAAGCCACTGTTTCAGGTCCTCAGGGTCAATAGGCCCCTTCGCCTCCTCACCGACGTCACGTTAAACGTTCTCTCGCTTTGGAAATGGGCAACCGCTGAATAACGTCTTCAGGTAGCACTTTTGCTGACGCCCATGTAGAAATCATCACATCCTTCGCGACACCCAGCTCAGCCGCGGCTAGCGCTCTTTGAATACCATTCGCGAAATCGGGCATGCGGGAGTCAGTTTATATCGAAAGGCGCCACCAACTCTTTGTCTGTTCTGACACTCGAGAGCTTCATGACAACCTCATCATTGCCACAAGTCTTTCCTCGAGCACGGTACTTTCCAACATACGTCAGCCAACGATCAATCACCTCGTCCAGGATGAACTCGTCAGATACTTGCTGGATCATGTGTTCAAACAACTCCCCCGGACGCTTTCGTTGCAGAATCAATGCTCCCATTCTCAGCGAGTGCGATGCGTCGGAAAATCAATGAAGGTGGTGCCCACGCTCGCTCATCGTCGTTCTGCTGAATTTGGTTGGTCTTGCACACTGAAGCGTCGTGTACCTTCAAGCTTACCGGACCGACGGACGTTTCACATCCAGAGAAGACGGAAAGGTGATCAATTCGAGCCAGGATGGTTGGTCCGATTGACTCGCACAGTTGTCGATCCAGCAGCTTTTCATAGTAAAACGACGAACGTCGTAAAGAGACACTGAAGTAAGCGCATGAATGGCGACTGTCTGACACGCTAAGGAATGAGAGAAGCAAGTTGCGAAGCCTCTCAGGAGAAACATGTCAACCTTTAATGTCTCGACTGGCTCTTTCACATCCTAGGAGATTTGATCTCAGTGTGTTCGTCAGCGTCAGCTGTTAGGAGAGATCAGGGCTCCGTGTCGCAGCGTCCCGCACATCCCGCATTCAACAATTTCTTACGATGCTTAGTGTCGTAATTCTATCAATTTTCTATTCATTTAATTCTTTCGGGTTCACTTTCCAATTTGCGCCTTTAAGCAACAACGGCCAAGCAACGAAACTCTCCACATTGCCGGGCGACCGGCCCCCTTACCCTGGGTGGGTAGTCATCTATCGTGGGGTCCGGATTTAAGGGGGGAGGCAGCGCGGCGCGCAAACCGAAAGGTAAGCAACAGTCCAGGTACTCCGAGGTGAGGGTACGGCAACAGCGGTTTATAATCCCACCTAGTACCTACTATTCTACTGCAGCCTTCGAGTTGTCAGTCCAGCGAGGTACTTATAGATGCTTGTATAGATGACGTAATTGTATCTGTGACATAACAATTCATACTCTTTATTTACTGGAGGTTCGCGATTGTTGATTTTGGTGACGTTGAGCTTCTTGTGATAGATACTGGATTGTTTAAAGCTTAGTCTTGACAATCTACCATTCTATCCAACGTCGAGATTGCGATTGCATAGCATAAAGTTTCGACTGATGTATGTTGCGAGGCGTCGCTGCTCGCTAAACTCAACTGGACTAAACTGATGTGTGGGGTCAATCTTTGTTTTTCGTTGACGCCACGTTTTAAAAGAGCCATGCTTGCACAAGTACGCCATTAGCGGCAACAGTTAGGATCCAGTGGAACAGGCATCAGTACATTGTTGAAGCGGCTACAGCCTCAATTACAATGCGTTCAATTTCTCCGTTTCTTCATAATACCCGTTCTTTGGCGCTCTCAGCGCATACGGAGGCTCATATGTGCATGCACATCTGGTCGTTCTAAAATATATGTAGGATAAATGTTCAATGATCTTGTAACGGGGCACCCTGAAGCTTGTACTGGTGACAGTACAAGCTACTTATTCTGATAACAGAATAAGGCGGTGCCTCGTAACTTCACGTACACTCGTACGTGCAGAGGAAGACGGTAAGAAGAAGCGAGTACTTGGTTAGAGTAAAAAGTAGAACTGTATTTATAATAGTTAATGTCTGCAATAAATCACTATTTATCTTCATCTAACTATGTCTAAATACAAATGTGTAAATCAGTTATCTGCTCACCACTCATTGCGTGCGTCTGTCGTGGCGCGTCTTCGTTGGTTGATATAATGGCCTATATCAACCAATTAGGAACTACTTGGAAGTGCTACAGAATATTTGTCCTTATGACAATATTCTGAGAATATAACTCTTATAGTTATATTCTATTAACAATTTCTTATAAATTGTTATGTAACGATTCACCCCGTTACATCACCCCCCTTAACCATCAGTCACTTTAGTGACTGATTGACTAAATGGATACTCGTCCCAAATCATTTGGGACGGGGTTTGCACTTGTTGGTCCGCGTCCACTTTCCAACATCTCATCGCATGGTAAACAAGCCCATGCGATGCGCGAGCAAGGCCGCCGAGAGCGCGTCTGCACGTCTCTGTGCGGACGCCGAAGCAGAAACTACAGCAACTGATGTCCCATCGGTTGCTGAATCGACTCAGCCTGTATCACCTGGTGATGCAGGCGCTGGTCATGAAGACACTCGTGTCTTCACAGAGTACGAGCTCGGTGTCTCGTACTCTCCTGATACGGATGACGGATCCGTATCGACGGCAATTGAATCCAAGCCGCCTGCCAAGCGTGGCATGGACGATGCTTTGCGTCGCAGCATCTTTGGTTCATCTGATGAGTCAGATGAACCATCGCCAAGCGAAGGCGCTCGAGGTCGCGAGACTCGGGCGCTAATAGTGGTGTCGTTTCTCCAATGGACACCACTTCACAGCGAGGTGCCAGTACTTCTGTCGGCACGTCGCAGGAAGAGCGGGACCGCAATGTGTTGCGTCTCGCTCCAGAAAAGAAGGCATGGATGCCTCCTAAATCTGTCATGGATCACTTGTCGGCGACGACGAGTGATCGTTATCGAACACGATTGTTCGATTCGTCGAGGATTCATCACCTTGACCCCAGCGCGAAAGACTATCGCGCTGAACATGAAGTTCTTCATCGATGCTTTCTTCAGACATCGATGGTACAGTGGGAATCACAAACGTGATGGTCCCTCACTACTTCAGGCGTGGAACGCCTACATCCATAATCTCGAGGATGTAGGTCGTGACGCTTGGAACGACAAACTTATCAAAGCTCGTGATAAGTTTGAAAAGCGAACCCCGACAGGTGCACGCTATAAGCTGCATCGTCTGTCAAGGGAGAAAGGATTACCCTGCCTCTCTTGGGGAGACTCGTGCCCATGTTGTGTGAACAACTCTGCACGAGCACCTAAGGAGGCTTACCTCCTTACCAGCCCGTGGTGGCGCGTACGTGTCTCTACTGAGATGTACGAAGGGATTGACAACCTGAAATCCCTTTACGACCGTGCCGGGAAGACTTTCTCCGGCGGTCCTTCTGCGGCACAGGATGTGTCGCGTCGTACTGCTCGACCAGACCCAGTACGTCAACCATCAATTGGGAGCGGGGCTCCCAAGAATCCCAGGACGGGGGATAGCCGCGCCACCGGACGAGGTAACTCGTCCGACGTCCGTTCACGTCGCGGTGGTTCAACAGCTGCTCTACTAGATAGCGCTGGCCACCGCGAGAGTCCTCTAATGGAGGTGGAGGAGGAGGAAAGACGCTCTCCACACGATCATGTGGATCGGTGTGTTCCCGAGAGCTTCTTTGATCGCGTAACGCAAGGGTTACGCGACGATCTCGAGCATGAGCGGAATAGGCGTCTCCAGATGGTGGACACTGCCTCGAAGCATCGAGCTGAGTTTGCCTTTGCTCAGCTTGAGAACGAGAGATCTCTGACATCTCTTCGTGACGAGCTAAGGGTAGCTCGTGGGATTGTTGATCGGTCTCGGGCTGAGATAACTGCTCTTCAGACCCTTGTTGATGCCCACCATCGGGAGCACAAGGCTCTCTGCGAGATGCTTGAGCGCAAGGGCGTTCTTCATCGGAAGAAGCAGCGTACTGATGGTACGGCTTAAGCCGACCAACGTAAAACGTGGGATGCGTTCGCATCTTACGTGGTAACTCGATCGTGTATGCATTGCCTAGGCGGTGCAATACACGAAATGGGCCAATGTACTTGGGTAGTAGTTTACTGCTACCCAAGTTAGTCACTACATGTTTTGGTAGATTAACCGTAGACAGTAGGACTAAGTCACCTTTATTAAATAAAAGAGTGTTTGCCCTTCCATTCTTGTCAGCGTTTTGCTTTTGCTTATCCACCGCTTCGGCGATGGAGTCTTGCACAAAACGGACTACCGTTTCACGAGCCAGTATGAACTCATCTGATGACTCGTTAGCTTCAGTGTGCTGTGAGCGCACTGCAGCGACAACAACCTTTTCTTCAGTGAGGGCTTCCGCACTCTCACTGGGATCATTGTCTTCAGTGAGGGCTTCCGCACTCTCACTGGCATCATCTTCTTCGATATCGATGTTATCGATATCGGCATCAAACGCAATGACTTCTTCGTCAGAGCGTGATGAGCGTGAACCAAATCGGTTTTTGCTCGCGCGAGTCCCTCCCCCCCTTAAACCAGAGTTACACTCTAGTAAGGTGGGTACACGCGGATGGCGCAAGCCATTCACGTAAAACGGTGTATGTGTCGTGGACGCATGCACCGAGTTGTTGATGGCAAACTCTACCATCGGCAAAAACTCACTCCAACTCTTAAAGGAGTGTACGTATCCTCGAAGTATCTCTTCAAGGACACGATTGGCACGTTCCGTCTGACCATCTGACTCTGGATGATCAGATGTTGACATCTTCAAGCGCGTTCCGAGTGATTTGAACACGGAACGCCAGAAATCAACAGTGAATCGTGGATCTCTGTCTGATACGAGTTCACGGGGCAACCCATGAAGTCGGAAGATGGTGTCAATAAAGACACAAGCACAGCCACTTGCCGTGATTGTCTCTGGTACAGCCACAAGGTGTACCATTTTGCTGAATCTGTCAACAAATACGAGAATACCCGTATTCCCGCGTGCGTCTTTGGGTAACCCGAAGACGAAATCCATTGAGATGGATTCCCAGCACTCAGCCGGAACCGGTAGAGGCTGTAAAGGTGCACGCAGTGAAGGACTTGACTTCACTCGTTGGCAGACTTCGCATGCGCGAACATACTTTCGCACAAACTGATACTGGCGGGGCCAGTAAAAGTCTCGACTTACCGTGAGATATGTTTTCTCTCGGCCACGATGTCCTCCTATAGGAGCATCGTGATACTCGAACATGATCCGCAAACGCAGATCAGTATCATCTGGAATGACAACACGTGGTGTGTCACCAGAAACGGCTGTATAGTACAGTAAACCGTTACGAGTAGTGTATCGATCTGATGCAGATCGATACGCGAGACGACAATCGTTTCAACGATTCTCGAGATGGTTGGGAGAGATGTGACAACAACTTCACTATCTCACCATCTTGGGCGTATGCCCGCCTCACATCATCATACAACGTTGTAGATGGAACTGAGGACGTCATAACCGCAACAGTGACTGTCTCACTGTTGGGTTTCGCGACTGTTTCAAAGTCGGGACGACGTGAGAGTGCATCAGCGACGACATTAAGTCGTCCTGGTTTGTACTCGACCGTAAAGTTGTATTCTGCAAAGAATGACAACCACCGCGCCATTCGTTGTGAAAGGTGCGGGCTGTTCACTGCCGTGCGTAAGGACGCATGGTCAGTGTAAACAACGAAGGGTCTATCTCCTAATAGATAGACTCTGAACTTCGCGAGTGCATACTTCATGGCAAGGAGTTCCTTGTCATGCACTGGATAGTTCCGCTCAGCTGGTTGCAGCTGACGCGACTGATAGCAGACGACGCGTTCAACGCCTTCAAGGTCGTACTGCATTAATGCACAGCCGATTGCGAAATCGCTGGCATCACAGACCACATGAAATGGCCTGTCCTGATCGGCTATTGCTAGGACTGGGGATTGTATCAAGCTCTGCTTGATACCCTCAAAGGAGCGTTGACATTCAGCGTTCCATAACCACCTCTCGTTCTTTTTCAACAAACGAGAGAGGTGTACAGTCATCTCGGCGTAATTGCGTGAATACTTATGCAAATACGCCGCTAGCTCAAGGAATTTTCGAAGACCTTTGACATCGACCGGCACGGGCCAGTCGGTGATCGCCTTGATCTTTTCGGGATCAGGACGTACACCGTTCTTACCAACGATGCACCCAAGAAGTGGTATTTCGCTTGCTGCAAATATACACTTCTTGAGGTTTGCATACAATTGATGCTTTCGCATGATTGTAAGAACTTGTCGGACGTGGTACTTGTGAACCTCAACGTCCGACTTTCCATCCATAGCTCGACTATGGATGAATACGTCATCGAAATAACTCGGCGCGAATTCTCGTACTGGCCTCAACAGATGTGATACACACCTGTTGAACGTGGCAGGGGCATTACTGAGCCCTTGTGGCATTACTAGCCATTCCCAGAGCATGCCGCTAGGCGTGCTAACTGCGGTATAGGGTATATCCCGTTCCCGCATTAGGATTTGATAGAAGCCATCCATCAAATCCATGGACGAAAAGATGGTACTCTTTGACATACCATCAATGATTACGTCCTTCCTCGGTATCGGCGTCTGAGCCGGTACCGTTGCAGCGTTCAATTTGTTAAACGCGTGCACTATCCGCCACCCTCCTGTTGCTTTTCGCACACAGAAGGTCGGAGAGCTATGTGGGGGAAGTTGATTCCCTCACATGGCCCGCTGCTAAACGATCGGCAAAGAACTTGTCGATCGCAAGTACTGTTCACGAGGCAGTGGCCACTGCTTCATGACACAGTACTTCGAGCCTGGTTTAAGCTCGACTTCGTGTCGAATACCTTTATCCTTCGGTAATTCGCACGGAACAGTTTCAGGGAATACATCCTTGAATTCAACCAAATCTTCATAGAGAGGATTTTCCTTGAGCGATTCCCATGATTGGGACTCATATCGCTCAATTCGTGTCTTTTCATCTAGGACACTCTCGTCCATAGATGAACTACTGAGAACTCTCTCGTTCTCAGTAAACACTGTTGCTGACCTTATGTCGGTTACATACTCGTCTTCAGCGACGAGTATGCAGATCTGCTTGACTTTGCCACTACGCAGATCACGCAAGAATCTTTTATGTTCGAGCGTTGGCAACTGAGTGATCTCCGAAGTTAACTTCGGAGGCGCAATCAGATCAAGTGTATAAGCGCCTACACATGATCCGTTATTGACTATGACATTCAATGTCTCTGTCATTTCCTGGGGACTTATTCCCTCAGGCTTCGAAGGACTTATTCCTTCGTCTTCCCGGGGACTTATTCCCGCGGGTTTCGGGGAACTTATTTCCGCCGTATTTGTAATCTTGGGACTTATTCCCTTTACTTCCTCTAGCTGGGGTTGCGCAACCACAGCGAGATCCTCTACGAAAGACTCTCCAGTCGATCTAGGATTATCGTTTCGCTTAACCTGAGCGATCGATTGTTTCTCTTCTAGATGTTCCCCTCTAGGGATACATCTTTGTCCCAGTCCACCCGACTTATTCGAGTGGTGGACCTTCGGCGCAGCCTGTGTTTCCTCACAGCCGCCGGAACTTTGCTCCGAAGTGTAACCGTTTGGTACACTAAGGTTTTGTGCAGTCGTACTAACGACCGTACCACAAGTGAGGCCATCGCACTCACTCGTAGTACATCCACACGCTTGTGGACTCTCCAAAACGTTCATCAGATGGCCATCTGATGAACAAGCGGCAGGCATCGTTACTGTCCGATGTTGCCAGTTTACCCGTGGTTCGTACCTTCTGAGCCACGGTATTCCAAGGATGACATCAAATTTGTCATCCAAATCCAATACGATAAAGTCATCGTCGTATTGGGTATCTTCTAGCGTATAGTGAATCTTCACTATACGCTTCATGACGGTTACGGATGCGCCTGTCGCAAGACGTACCGTCATCCTCGTAGGAGGTGTGTCACATTCACTGAATTTAAAGTGACCATCTTCTAGCGATTGACGTCGCACAAAATTGTTGGACGCCCCACAATCGACTAGAGCTCGAAGGGACAACTTATTCGTCACTTCGAGTTTCAAGGTAATGAGTGAGATCTCATTACCTAGAGCAGCAACGCACAATGTCTGTGTGTTGGGAGCAACCTTCATCAAGAGGCCTACAAATTCTCTTGACGTTGCTGGATCAGTAGGGTGCTCCGCACCTACTGATCCTGTCCGTTTTTTGACGGTCCATCCCGTTGTTGCGTCTTTGCACCAACTGCGGACCCTCGTCCCTGCCCCTTTCTCATGGGTGGACGGTCACTACGCCCAGTGTCGCGAGACACTGGACGAGGGGCACTACACTCGTAAGCATAGTGTCCTGTCTTTTGACATCTGTTGCATCTCTGCAACTTCTTGTAGCCTGTAGAGCGAGCCTTCTCGCTCTCTACATAACAGAGTTCCATCGGCTCTGGACCTCCGTTGTCATATCGTCTCGGTTGACGATATGATGTCGAGCTGGCGCGAGCCTGTCTCAGACTGAAGTCTTCCTGCTCCGCAATGGAAATGGCTTGTTCTAGTGAATCTAGTTCAAGCCGGAACAGGTGAGTCTTGACGGGACCATCCGCAAGACCCTGCATGAACACCGAAACCAACGTGTGTTCATCCACCGGATTGGAACTTATACAACTCGTGAGATGTCGTATATGTTGAGCGTAAGCGTGCACATCACGCTTACCCTGCTTGAGCTTCAAGAGTTCGGTTCGAGCTCTGAACTCAGCTCTAGGCGGTTCAAACGTTTGTCTGAGCCGCGACTTGAAGACTTCCAACGACCCAAACGCGTATGGGTCGTGCAGCTTGAGCCCCAGTGCCCAAGTCTTGGCACGTCCTGCCAGATTTGACTGGGCAAATGCAACTTGCATATCCCCGTCGTCGATGCGACGCGCCCTTATGGCGTCATCCAATTCGACGAACCATCTCAAGAGGGAGTCTTCTTCGACCCCCCTATACTTTGAGATGTCAATCTTCAAAGTCTCGGGCCGACGCGAGTGCATCGACCCGCCAGCAGCAGCCTGCTGCTGTCTCAACAGTTCAAACTGTTGAGCACCTTGTTCTCTCAACAACTCTGCTTGTTGAGAACCTTGTTGGTGAAGCAAGGCTACTTTCTCGCGTTCTGCGTCAAGTTCATTTTGAATGAACTTGGCGATAGTAGCATGTTGGGCATCTCTATTGAGAGCCTCTAGCATGACGCTAACAGCATGGATGCCCATGGTCGAACCCATTCGTTCAACCGCATCCCATTCGACATCGCTCAAATGGGAGTAGCCGTCACGCGTAGCGTGAAAGCTTTGGTCATCTTCATCATCCAACATATTCATGTTGGATGTGAACGCGGTCCTTGGACGGACTACGAAGTGCTACCAGGTGTAACGGGGCACCCTGAAGCTTGTACTGGTGACAGTACAAGCTACTTATTCTGATAACAGAATAAGGCGGTGCCTCGTAACTTCACGTACACTCGTACGTGCAGAGGAAGACGGTAAGAAGAAGCGAGTACTTGGTTAGAGTAAAAAGTAGAACTGTATTTATAATAGTTAATGTCTGCAATAAATCACTATTTATCTTCATCTAACTATGTCTAAATACAAATGTGTAAATCAGTTATCTGCTCACCACTCATTGCGTGCGTCTGTCGTGGCGCGTCTTCGTTGGTTGATATAATGGCCTATATCAACCAATTAGGAACTACTTGGAAGTGCTACAGAATATTGTCCTTATGACAATATTCTGAGAATATAACTCTTATAGTTATATTCTATTAACAATTTCTTATAAATTGTTATGTAACGATTCACCCCGTTACAGATCTCGTCCCGCGAGATATCCCGTCCTGTGCAGGACGGATGTGGGGCAGGCGAATCGTGTAACGGAGCACCCTGAAGCTTGTACTGGTGACAGTACAAGCTACTTATTCTGATGACAGAATAAGGTGGTGCCTCGGAACTTCACGTACACTCGTACGTGCAGAGGAAGACGTTAAGAAGAAGCGAGTACTTGATTAAAGTAAAAAGTAGAACTGTATTTAGTATAGTTAATGTCTACAATAAATCACTATTTATCTTCGTCTAACTATGTCTAAATACAAATGTGTAAATCAGTTATCTGCTCACCACTCATTGCGTGCGTCTGTCGTGGCGCGTCTTCGTTGGTTGATATAATGGCCTATATCAACCAATTAGGAACTACTCGTAAGTGCTACAGAATATTTGTCCTTATGACAATATTCTGAGAATTTAACTCTTATAGTTATATTCTATTAACAATTTCTTATAAGTGTTAGGTAACGGTTCACCCCGTTACAAATCGCGTCTAATCCCGCGCGGGACGGAGCCCTAGGAAAGATCTGACACATTTACGTGCTAGTGTCATCAGTCGACAATCGTCTTATTGAATAGCTTCAACTAAACCTCGGCTCGTTTGATCCCGCTTTTCGCCACCAAGTTTGCTTAAAAACATGAGTACGTCACATGCGTGCGTACTATTGATTAGTAAATATAGGTGCTTGTTTCTACCCTCCGATGAGCGGCTCAACTCAATCAGCAAAAAAAGTGACGATTTGTGCAAATTAACACAAAACAGAGCCATTGTTTTACGGGAGAAAAGATGGTTATGCCATCTCATCCCCGTCATTTCAGCAACATGATCACTGCCCTTAGGTCACCGGGCTTATATAAAGAAGCGTGGCAGGCCACCAGTCGAGACTAAAGCTCCACCTGCGGGGGGTGGGGCGGGATTGGCCTATCCTGCGTCCCATCCTGCGCAGATCGGGATATCCCATAGGACGAGATTATCGAACATTTACCTCACAACAAAGCTTCAAGGTACAGACCTACACGCATTTGAGCACCTCTGTAACGGGGCACCTGAGCAACACACTGAAAAACCGGTGTTGAGCTACTATCACCGAAATCAGTGTGGGTGGTACCTCGCTACCTATAGCAACTATGCAGAGGAAGGAAAAGCAACTAATAACTGACTAGTTGCTGGTAAAAGTAAAACCGTAATAAATATGAATAAGTCCTTGATACAAGTACCTAATTTTAGATCCTAATTAATTACATTTACTTACTAAAATGCATGTTGAACTCTTGCTCACCACTCGTTGCGCGCGTCCGTCACTAATTAGACTGCTAGAGCTAGCTAATATGCTGGACCATATCAGCCAACAGGATAATGCTTCTAAAATTACCCCATTTGGAGATGTATACAGATATTACCAACTTTCATCATCATATAATACCTCTAAGGCATCGAATGTTCGTTAAATGTAACAAGCTCACCCCGTTACACTAGAAATTTATTCATATAAAAAGATGACTCCAGCATAAGATAGGGGAGCAATCTCTGGAGATCGCCCTTTGGCCAATATATTCAGTTCCAGGAACTGAATATATTGGCCAAATATTCAAGTGCCTTTTTTGCGCTCAGTCACTAGCAGATTCACCCTTTGGGCTCGCAAGGATGCGTATAGACCAATGAAGAGGAAATTAGTGCGACGTCTAAGTAACACCAAGCATTTATTTACAGACGCATACAAAGGAGGCGATAAGCTGTATCACACTGAACACGACGTGAGAGTCACATCCAGCATTACTCGTAGGCGAGATAAGTGACGGACAATATCGCACTTAATGCGACATGTAAGGTGTACTTGGCGTTATGCACATACAAGGGGGTTGGCAGACTAATCGCACCTAGTACGACGATTACGGTACACCTAGAGTTATTTTCATACAATGACAATAATAGGGTAAATCATACTTAATACGACATGTAAAGTACATGTCGTTCTATACAGATACATGCACAAGCAGATAAGAACGATTTAAAAGGTCGCCATTCGCCTTGTGCACAGTCACTAATAAATCCACCCTTTGGGCTCGCAATCATACTTATTCTTCAGCGACTGCTGCTGTTGTATATCGTTTCGCAACGTAATTCAACTCTCATAATTGCATTACCTTATCAAAGGGTGAGCTCCAGATCTTGATCCGCTATCTTATATTTCCCTGTTTAAATTACTAAATAAAAATTATTAGAATCACGATATTATGTAGAGTAAGGAAATTATTGAATGTGGGATGTGAAGAACCCGTGGGGTGGAGCAATGTGGGACGGGGCTCTAGTCGAGACGGAACCTGATACGGCAGGAACAGCAAGGTGCATCGTGTCACGACGCAGGTACATTATCATAATCAACTACTGTACGATACATCGACAAGACATATCATAACACCCTTACGTCATTTATGCCGTAAAGCTTGTTCGCAAACCTCAAGAAGTCTACAGAACAATCCACTGTGTGGACAGGGAAGGAGACAATGACACCGACGAGTATATTACACGAGTGGATATTTCACTATACTCGTCGTGGATAGTCAAAGCAATGTCTTATTGAAGCTGAAGCTGGATGAGGTTAAGTATCTGCTTCGGGGATCTGTGATTCTTGACATTATAGATAGAAAGAAGCGGACCCCAATATTTAATTTGCCAGACAAATCTCTGATAAGATTGTGGATGGATCGCGAACATCAGCGGCTACAGTTTGTGAAGAAAGGTGATAAATACTGAAATGAGATAGATGGATTGCTTATCCAGAATCACCTTGTAATGCTAACCATAAATTAAATGGTGTTCCTTTAATGCAATAGCACGAGCGCTAAGGATACTAAAGGGTCGCTATAATTAAGCAAATGCATGACAGAAACGCAGTTACTAGTAAATGTTTTCCACCCGAAATATTCGAGGATAAGCTCACGTGTAAGCTGCTTTTCAGCTAAGTACAAAATCATGTCGTACAAAGCTAGCGTGTAGCAAAGCAAATAGTAAATTATGAACGCCTTATATCAGTTATATGTAAAATGAGCAATTATCTTCCTGGACTAAAAATCATCGATAATTCTTGCTGGTCTAATATAGATTTCCCGATACAAATGTATCTTTCCTTTTAAGCAGAAGCGTGAAGCAAATGCAAACATGCGGATGAATCAAGTCTTTTTGCTCCAGGACATCGCACAGAGACATCGCAGTTGCAATTTACATGCAAATGAAAGTTTGGATTCATTAATGCTGAGATAAAGAAACTCTTTAAGGCTCGTGTTATTCACTTTCTGCCCACAATCCCACATGCATCGAAAAAAAACGCTCTGTTAGAGACATTTGATGATGTACTGGTAAACAGAATGCGGACTGCAATGAATACTACAAATCTTTCAAAGACACTTTGGCCAGAAGTACTGCAGTGCATTGTGGATATAGATAATATTGAACGGGGCAACAGGTCCTTCTATTGTTACAGTACATTCCACCTACACTGAACACATAGCAAGGTGGTGCTACGAGACCTTACGTACACGCGTCGTGCAGAAGAACTTTCAACACGAGAAAAAAAAGGGTTACAGCCGAACCGTATATCGTATAGTCTATCTCCTGTACAAAAACCAAATTAGTCTCTATTCAACTACATCTAAATTTAAACATGCAATGTAACTGTGGTCTCACTACTCGTTGCCTTCTTCCGTCATGGATCTGATTATTCGAAGATATCATTAATTTAGATCAACCAATGATCATTGTATTACTTCTGCAAAACAGTATTTGTTAAGCCGAAAATATGAAAATATTATGTCGTCCTAAATTATACTTATACTTGATATCAACCTTATGTAAACTATCATGTGACGGGAGTACCCCGTACACAATAAGAGTGCAACTCGAGCGTTACGAGGCAAAAGATTGTACAAAACGTTTGGGAATACAAATCATATGTGAGCAAGATCAAACTGTGTGGCTCATTGGGATTCGTGCATGTTTTAAAAGCAAAGAGACATGACAAGTTGAGTCACAAAACTGAACCAGCGTTGCTTCTTGCCTTTGCACATAAGACCATTGACTATTGATTCTTAATCTCTATACTGGTAACATTGTTGAGGCTCGCCATTTATATTTCTGTAAAGATGTTACTGTGTGCAAGACCTAAATGTCTGCATTAATAAAAGGATATGAGGAAAAGTCCGAGAAAATCAAGTGGTTCAGTATGTTTATTTGAAGTAGAGATAGCTATAGTACACCCGATGAACAACTGTGGACTAGCGTCCACTACTAGACCTATTGTTCCGGCGTCATCGTTAAGTAGTGACGAGTCAGAAGTGAATGATACAAGTTTAATCACACAACTCTGGGGTGAAACACAAACAGCAGTGGTATTAGACAAGATCGTTTATGAAACTGTAAAGTTTTCAATTCTAACACTAGCGCGCACCGAAAGAATCGTTGTCCCGGAATTAGTTGGCATGTACCAGCACCTACAAGGTGATCG